TGCGAGAAATTAAATTATCAATTTTTCTGTTGTCACATATAAAATTGTTTCACTGAGGTAACAAATAACACTATGGTGTATATCCTTGACTGAGACCGTCTCCGTGGTCGAGTGGTAGAGCGTTCGCCCGGAGAGCGGAAGGTCCGGGGTTCGATCCCCGGCCGCGTCATGCCAAAAGACGTTGGATGGTGGTTACCCATCCTGGCGCTTTTCATCAAGGGACTAAAACTAGGACTGGTCGGCTCGGAGTCTGTGTTTGAGTGGCGTATACATGTTAAACTGCGGCATAGTATCTCAGTGGACTAGCACTATAAAATCGGCATTAGTCCGGACTAGTCCAAGGAGCCACACACAAACACAACCGCAACAATCGCAATATAAGTGCAATAATCTTGGACACGACGTTAAACCCCATTTAACCTCATTTCCTTGACTGAAAGCTGAATATATGTCAGCGCAATAGATGGGGCAGTACTTCGCTTAATCATGTGGGCATGAGTAGCCATGACCATACATGGAACATCCATTAGTGATGATGTTACCCATAGAACACAAGCGCTCTCTGTCGGCATGGTAACTTGTCCTCCGTGTTTATCAATCACAATTTCTGTGTGACATTCCTGTAATCGGCGAGACGTTCTTTAGATTTCAACTGTGCCATGTATGAGGAATAATAGACAATATATTCTCAATAAATTATAGTGATGTGATTACACCGAACCCCGGAAGCCGCTCGTGACCATTTCCCGTTGCTAAAATTATACAATATTCTTTGTTTATATATGTGTAATATATTTCTGATGTGTGATCTTTTACCAATGCGAAAACAGAAGTCGTAACCCAGACACTGATCACAGGTGTCTTTAAATCGCCATTGTTGGTATACCTAACTGTTTGATTGTCGTTCATGATTGGCATTGATTACATTAGAACGCGTACAACTTCATGGAGAACAACTTCTGGTTTCTTGCATAGGCAAGAAGGGTGTAAGAATCTACTTCGCAACGTCGCTAATTCATCAAGAAGTGCGTACGTACGTACGTGCGTGCGTGCGTGCATGCGTGCGTGCGTGCGTGCGTGCGTGCGTGCGTGAACCAGTAGAGGATATACATATGTGAACCAGCTAAACAAGTATATCTGTGGACCACTTCAAGATATGTTTGTGAACCAGTTATAGACACTTATGGGTGAACCAGTTATATCCCAAACCAGAAAATACTGTTAGCATCAACTGACTCCGAAGTGGAAGATGTTTGTGTCGATTTATCACATAAGTCGATCTGTGCTTCAAGATCATGTTGTCAACATACAGAGTGTGCCTCAAATAGTCGAATAAATATTGCGCAGTTTGTAAAAGGGCTCTACCCCCACTTTCCCACCATTTGTTAAAACAACATTTTCAACCAGGCGTGAAACAATAGAAGGATTAACTGGGGTATTCCACTGTTAGGGGTGGCTGACAGTGAGATCAGTCCACCCTTCACTTGGAGTTCACTCTCTCACTGTCTTTCATATCAATCTCTGACTGCCTCCGTGGCCTAGTGGTAGAGCGTCCTTCCGGAGAGCGGAAGGTCTGGGGTTCGATCCCCGGCCGCGTCATACCAAAAGACGTTAAAAGATTGTACTTGTTGTTACCCTGTCTGGCGCTCGGCATTAAGGGGCTAAAACAAGGAGTGGTCGGCTCGGAGTCAGTAAACTGTGTCTGAGTGGGGTATTCATGTTAAACTGTGGCATGGTATCTCAGTGAGCTAGCACTAGCAGCCACAAGCAGCCACACACACACACACACATACATGCACGTCGCTATATAAGTGCAATAATCTTGGACGCGACGTTAAACCCCCGATGTTGTTTATACCCCTACCAATGTTGGGAAAGTGGGGTGACACCGTAAAATGACAACGTCACATTTAAGGAAACAGCTTCTGGGTTTCATATGCGAAATATGCATAATGTCGGAAAGCGCACGTTAAATCTCCAATAGTAAGTAAGCAAGGGCTTCATATGCCCGATCATGTAATACAGATATTCCTCCACTGTAGGTGGCTTTGCTAAAATCTGCCGAAGCAGAACGTTAGCTCGTTTGCAGGTGTGGCAGTCGTAACAGTGATTATGATAGAATTACACATATCACATGTAACCATCACCCAGTTGAGGGTGTTGTGACCTGTAGTCATTAAACGGTGTAGCTACATCAACTAGGCAGCATCTAGAACACTGATGGAGATGAGTCCCATCTTAGTTTGAAAGCCGCTGATAAATTGTGAAGAAAAATATAAAAAGATATTGTTGTATGAAAATGTTTGATGGTCACAGTTATGTATGGGAAGAGACGACACATTGTGATTAGAGAAGTACATTGTGGTTAGATAGGCTAAAGTGTGGTAAGGGAGGCTACAGTATGGTTAGTGAGGCAACAGTATGGTTAGTGAGGCTACAGTGTGGTTAGGGAGGCTACAGTGTGGTTAGATAGGCTACAATGTGGTTAGAGAGGCTACAGTATGGTTAGAGAGACAACAGTTTGGTTAGTGAGGCTACAGTGTGGTTAGGGAGGCTACAGTGTGGTTAGATAGGCTACAATGTGATTAGAGAGGCTACAGTATGGTTAGATAGGCTACAGTGGGTTAGGGAGGCTCCAGTGTGGTTAGGGAGGCTACAATGTGGTTAGATAGGCTACAATGTGGTTAGAGAGGCTACAGTATGGTTAGAGAGACAACAGTTTGGTTAGGGAGGCTACAGTGTGGTTAGATAGGATACAGTGTGGTTAGGGAGGCTACAGTGTGGTTAGGGAGACTACAGTATGGTTAGGGAGGCTACAATGTGGTTAGGGAGGCTACAGTGTCGTTAGGGAGGCTCCAGTGTGGTTAGAGAGGCTACAGTGTGGTTAGGGAGGCTACAATGTGGTTAGGGAGACAACAGTTTGGTTAGGGAGGCTACAGTGTGGTTAGATAGGATACAGTGTGGTTAGGGAGACTACAGTGTGGTTAGATAGGCTACAATGTGGTTAGAGAGGCTACAGTATGGTTAGAGAGACAACAGTTTGGTTAGTGAGGCTACAGTGTGGTTAGGGAGGCTACAGTGTGGTTAGATAGGCTACAATGTGATTAGAGAGGCTACAGTATGGTTAGATAGGCTACAGTGGGTTAGGGAGGCTCCAGTGTGGTTAGGGAGGCTACAATGTGGTTAGATAGGCTACAATGTGGTTAGATAGGCTACAGTGTGGTTAGGGAGGCTACAGTGTGGTTAGGGAGGCTACAGTGTGGTTAGATAGGATACAGTGTGGTTAGGGAGGCTACAGTGTGGTTAGGGAGACTACAGTATGGTTAGGGAGGCTACAATGTGGTTAGATAGGCTACAGTGTGGTTAGATAGGCTACAATGTGGTTAGATAGGCTACAATGTGGTTAGGGAGGCTACAATGTGGTTAGGGAGGCTACAGTGTCGTTAGGGAGGCTCCAGTGTGGTTAGAGAGGCTACAGTGTGGTTAGGGAGGCTACAATGTGGTTAGGGAGACAACAGTTTGGTTAGGGAGGCTACAGTGTGGTTAGATAGGATACAGTGTGGTTAGGGAGGCTACAGTGTGGTTAGAGAGACAACAGTTTGGTTAGGGAGACTACAGTGTGGTTAGATAGGCTACAGTGTGGTTAGGGAGGCTACAGTGTGGTTAGGGAGGCTACAGTGTCGTTAGGGAGGCTCCAGTGTGGTTAGAGAGGCTACAGTGTGGTTAGGGAGGCTACAATGTGGTTAGGGAGACAACAGTTTGGTTAGGGAGGCTACAGTGTGGTTAGATAGGATACAGTGTGGTTAGGGAGGCTACAGTGTGGTTAGAGAGACAACAGTTTGGTTAGGGAGACTACAGTGTGGTTAGATAGGCTACAGTGTGGTTAGGGAGGCTACAGTGTCGTTAGGGAGGCTCCAGTGTGGTTAGAGAGGCTACAGTGTGGTTAGGGAGGCTACAATGTGGTTAGGGAGGCTACAGTGTGGTTAGGGAGGCTACAGTGTGGTTAGGGAGGCTCCAGTGTGGTTAGGGAGGCTACAATGTGGTTAGGGAGGCTACAGTGTGGTTAGGGAGGCTACAATGTGGTTAGGGAGGCTACAATGTGGTTAGGGAGGCTACAGTGTGGTTAGGGAGGCTACAATGTGGTTAGGGAGGCTCCAGTGTGGTTAGGGAGGCTCCAGTGTGGTTAGGGAGGCTACAGTGTGGTTAGGGAGGCTACAGTGTGGTAAGGATGGCTACAGTGTTATTAAATAGGCTACAGTGTGGTTAGGGAGGCTACAGTGTGGTTAGGGAGGCTACAATGTGGTTAGGGAGGCTACAATGTGGTTAGGGAGGCTACAGTGTGGTTAGGGAGGCTACAATGTGGTTAGGGAGGCTCCAGTGTGGTTAGGGAGGCTACAGTGTCGTTAGGGAGGCTCCAGTGTGGTTAGGGAGGCTACAGTGTGGTTAGGGAGGCTACAGTGTGGTTAGGGAGGCTACAGTGTGGTTAGGGAGGCTACAGTGTGGTTAGGGAGGCTCCAGTGTGGTTAGGGAGGCTACAGTGTGGTTAGGGAGGCTACAGTGTGGTTAGATAGGCTACAGTGTGGTTAGAGAGGCTACAGTGTGGTTAGGGAGGCTCCAGTGTGGTTAGGGAGGCTACAGTGTGGTTAGGGAGGCTCCAGTGTGGTTAGGGAGGCTACAGTGTGGTTAGGGAAGCTACAGTGTGGTTAGGGAGGCTACAGTGTGGTTAGATAGGCTACAGTGTGGTTAGAGAGGCTACAGTGTGGTTAGGGAGGCTCCAGTGTGGTTAGGGAGGCTACAGTGTGGTTAGGGAGGCTACAGTGTGGTTAGGGAGGCTACAGTGTAGTTAGATAGGCTACAATGTGGTTAGATAGGCTACAATGTGGTTAGGTAGGCTACAATGTGGTTAGGGAGGCTACAGTGTGGTAAGGATGGCTACAGTGTTATTAAATAGGCTACAGTGTGGCCAGAGAAGCAGGTATATAGGCATAGGTCATACGTACCTCAATCTCATCACTGTACGGATCATAGCTACAGTCGGGGACGTACAGGTACTCCGAAGACGTCCGCCTCAGTTTTTCGTGAACTCGCAACTTTCTGGTTTTGTTATCCATCAACCTCAACAGTCAGAGTTCTGTTTTTCTCAAAGACTTATGGTTGTTCAGTGACACAGCTGGTATCTCACTGATATGTGTTGTCTCAACTCTTTATCTCCGAGATGATGTGTTCATATACACTGCTGGTATCTCACTGAGATATGTGTTGTCTCAACTCTTTATCCCCGAGATGATGTGTTCAATGACACAGCTGGTATCTCACTGACATGTGTTGTCTCAACTCTTTATCTCCGAGATGATATGTTTAATGACACAGCTGGTATCTCACTGAAATATGTGTTGTCTCAACTCTTTATCTCCGAGTTGATGTGTTCCATGACACAGCTGGTATCTCACTGAAATATGTGTTGTCTCAACTCTTTATCTCCGAGTTGATGTGTTCAATGACACAGCTGGTATCTCACTGACATATGTGTTGTCTCAACTCTTTATCTCCGAGTTGATGTGTTCCATGACACAGCTGGTATCTCACTGACATATGTTGCATGAACACTTTATCTCCGAGTTGCTGGTAGCTGACTGGCATATGCGTCTGTTCAGGCTATCTGTGAGTGACACAACTGCTAGCCCACTCTCATGCAACGTTACACATTGTTCTGTTAAGGTACGCACTTGTAAGATTCCTCCTCTCGTCACCCGGAACAGCTTAAGGCTGATGTCTTTCAGAAACCTGAGCGGGCGGCTATCTCGTTCCTCATCGCTTGAGGGATGCTCGTGGGGAAAAATCCCCTCCAACCGAACACGTAACAGCTCTCCGGTGACTATGGATCTGATAAAAGCGCGTTCAGGTGGTCGCATGAAGAACGCGCTATTTCACAGGACGCGATATCTATCGGACGTTTAGAACTGCGGATAGTAACCCCGTGAAGAGCTAAACGCCGATGTCATAAATTCATTACCGTTGACATTTAGCAGCAGGGACCATTCATTACTCTGACAACGATACTCAGCTCAAATTGATCCTGGTAACGGAAATCTGTACCGGGGTCACATCTCGTTCTTTCTCATAATCAGCTGGACAAAGCTAAGGACACAAATGAGGATCCTTCTGTATTTCCATTCAGAGATAAACCTTCATTACTTAGAAATGTTACCAGTGAGACTTTATGACGAAATGATTTTAATGCGAAACACGTCATGCGAAAAATGTACGTTTTGCACAAAGCCCTCCCGTGTAGAATGAAGTTGAGAGTTAAGCTTATAGTTTAGGACTCAGAACTCAACGAATGCTATCTTGAGTGACCGGCTCGAGAATAGGGGAATTATGCTGAGGTTGCAAATATATTTTACAAACGCTTCTTTCACTTCAAGAGAGGGGAATCACTGAGGTCAACGCCAACCCATGTTTTGGGTTTCACCAAAGTGGTAAAGGTTCGAGATATGCAGAATTTCGGACTTTACCCATAATAATACCGTTACACGTGTAATAGACGACAACTATAATTGCTCCATGAGGTATTGTAATATAACGGATAGGCCTACTCTATAGTGAACGACGGTCGGTAACGGTTTCAGCAGTGTATGGACAGAAAACGACAGGCCACCGAGCCTTGGCAAAAAGAAACATTGTTCAGAGATTCCAACACTCCTCCGTGCTCAGGGCGGAAATTTCCGCCGCTCATTACAGTTGACATTTGACAGCAGGGAGACGCATTCACAACTTTAAACACAAATTAGCTCCAGTGAGGGAAATGTGTACAGGGGTCAAATCTCTGTTGAATGTTTGCACAACTTCCTGTCTGTGAAACTTTTAAGTATTATTCTCTATTAGATTTAATACGGTTAGATCGGCTCCATGATGTTGTGGACAGAGCGTTGTGTAGGAGAGCGGACGTTTGGTAGTTTGGGCACCTTGTCGCGTCATACTAAAAACACGTAAAACAATTGTACTTGATTTCACACTGACCGGCAAGCATAATGTGTCGGAATAAAGTATGCGTAACAGTTAACACGAATTGGTTATTATGTATAATACATAATAACCTATAATTATTGGTATTATATATATAATATCTGATAATTGTCAGGTATAATATATAATAACTGATTGTACACTAACATACTGGACCGCCTCTGTGGTCTAGTGGTAGAGCGTCCGGAGAGCGGAAGGTTCGGGGTTCGATCCCCGGCCACGTCATACCAAAAGACGTTAAAAGATGGTACTTGTTGTTATCCTGTCTGGCGCTCGGCATTAAGGGGCTAAAACAAGGAATGGTCGGCTCGGAGTCAGTATACTGTGTCTGAGTGGGGCATTCATGTTAAACTGCGGCATGGTATCTCCGTGATCTAGCACTATAAATCGGCATCAATCCGGACTAGTACAAGCAGCCACACACACACGTGAATGCACGTTGCTATAAAAGTGCAATAATCTTGGATGCGACGTTAAACCCAATTTCACCTCGCCTAACATTACGCACATTAAAAAGGTATAACACCTTATTATGTGTGATATATTTTGAAGATAAATATTGTTGTACATCGCTCTGTTAATATGAGTAAGAGAGAGCAACAATATACATATGTCAACAGTCTTTGTTTTCATTTGTGAAAAGTTTTTGTTTGTGCAGGAGTGACTTGAATGGCATCTTAAATTGCACACGAATCGTGCTCTAAAGATTGTTACTTTGGCACCTCTTGGTGCCAGCACAATTGCATGTAATTACACCTTGATCCCCACATTTGGACTCTCTAGCACAACTACTGTAGGGATAATGGCATCGTCAGTTGACATATCGTCCATAGTGTAGAGTGATGTCGCAAAAAACATCAAATTGATTCCTGGAGTACTTGTTGTTCAATACACCAGACTTGACGTCAATGGTGTACATGTCATTTTCGCTAGTCTCTTGCAGGACACCCATGATGAGGCGGGGATCTGTACCTCCTCTGTCGATAGCTGGAACATTACCACGAACGACCACTGGAGTCATTTAAATTTGCTTCTCTTAACCACACTCTCGGCAAGGTGGGCTCGTCCGATGGTATAAAAGGTGTCGTCGATGGAGACAAAGTAAAGTGGATCTTCATTCTCTTATCTTCTTTGCGCCGCGATTCGCTGTGCAGAGTTGCGTCCCTTGGGCACGCCAGAAACCTATGATTGTGGGTTCGAATCCCGAAACGCGCCGACACTTTGGGGAAACCCACGAGCACGGGAATAGTGATGACAAACCTAGAAATTTAATCGTGGCGAACCGGGGTTAGAACCCACAATCTCAGGTTTCTTGCGTGCCAAAGAGACGCAAGTCTGCACAGCGAATTGCGGCGCCTTATATTAGGGGACTGAGTCGTCTGTGGCCTACATAGCCCACCCCACGACTCGATCATTTACAGACCGCTTCATATAGCTGGGATGTTGCTGAATGCAGCGTTAAACAACAAACACGTATCAGGTACATGGTTATCTCTGCTGACTCTCTGGGAGGGATCGCTCGTTCAGACAGGTAGGTAGAGCAACAAGAAAACGTACAACGTTATATACAACGACTTCTGGCTCATTGAATTAGCGACCTTTCGATGGAGATTCTTACACCGTTCTCAAGCTGGAACCGAAACATCCAAAGTGCAAGAAACCAGAAGTTGTTCTCCATGAAGCTGCACGAGTTTCTTATGTACTCAGTGTCAATCATGAATGCAATCAACACGTCAGGTATATCAATGCAAGGGATTTGAAGACACCCGTTATCAGGATTTGGTTACGACCCCCGTTTTCGTATTGGTACAAAAACTTCTTTTTTTGCTGTTGCTATGTGCCATTTTGAAAATATATGATATTGGGCATTGAACAGCCTTTATTCCTTATTTATCATCCCAAACTGGCTCCCACAGGTGATATTGCTTGGGTGAGTTCAAGCGATATCTACATTGTATATATATCGCTGCAATGAAATTGCATCACAATGCTTTGCAGACTATGGTGACGTCATTGTTACCATGACGTTACAATCAAATGACATCAATAATTAATCTGCTACTGAAGCTGTTAGCAGTACTTTTTACACTTAAGACACTGCTTATTACTGTCTACAGACTGAAAAAGTTGGAAGATTGATGTTGGATGATAAATAAAATCTCACCCGAAAACGTCGGCAAGCCTCGGAGATTTACACTTTTATGAGTGAGTGAGTGAGTATGGTTTTACGCCGCTTTTAGCAATATTCCAGCAATATCACGGCGGGGGGACACCACAGATAGGCCTCACACATTGTACCCATGTCGGGAATCGAACCTTGGTCTTCGGCGTGACGAGCGAACGCTTTAACCACTAGGCTACCCGACCGCCCCTTCACTTTTATGAACTCTCGTTGAGGGTGAGATTCGCTATTTAGGTGATCCTCTCTTAGAGTTTATGTCACAGATAGACATATCTGTATCCCTATAGATACCGACTACACACAATGAGTGCACACACTGCGCTGGTTTGGATGATACCAATCTAACCTTGTTTCTGTGTAAAGTAATCATTATGTATGCTGAACACATCAGTTCATCGTCACTACAACAAAGTTAACCTCACACCCTCCATATCAAAATAGACTCGTCCAGTATGAAAGGCGACGGACCCATCTCTTTTTTATATCTTTGTTAACAGGTTATTAACAACCATTTAAAACAATGGACAACATCGGACAATACTTACACGTATACGTTAACACCAAAGGTTATGATCTAAGCTAAGTTCTTAATGAAATTGTAAGTGAGTGAGTGAGTTGGGTTAAACGCCGCTTTTAACAGTATTCCAGTCATATCAAGGCGTGTCAGCTTAATGTGGGAGGAAAGCCCGAAGTGATGCAGGTCTCAGACATTTACCACTTCGGTGAAACCCACGAGTACGGGTATGGTGCTGACACCTAGAAACATAATCGGGGCGAACCGGGATTCGAACCCACAATCATAGGTTTCTAGCGTGTCCAAGGGACGCAACTCTGCACAGCGAATCGCGGCGCCTTAGACGACAGGGACACCCGTGCCCCCTAATGAAATTGTAAGTGTTGCAACAAATAGTAATTCATACATACATACAACTGTTTACAAGTTTATAGCAGATTTTCAAACTTCATCCAAGTGTAAACTATCGGTTAAACCCTCAGTTTTCTGATATTTGTTTACAAGCTTTACTTCAGAATCGACAAATGTGTTTTCATGCGAAATAATTGCCTTATTATTATTTACCCTTGATGTAACACTATGATTGATGACATTGTATGATAACCTACCACAGCAAAATTCAGTCTCCAAGGTATAGCAATCCTCAGGACATCCCGCGAGGCATTCACACCAGGATGGAGTGGCAATTGTTGGTCCAGAGATAATGTAGCGTCCAGGAATTCGGGGGACAAGCTCCTGTCGTCAGGATAGTCCACAAGAGATTCTCCAGACATCTTGACAACAAGTTACAATACAGTATTTGTAATCAGATTGACCCCTAACAGTTTTCCGTATATGACAAGATATATATAACTTCCATCCTGTTGTCATGGATACCAAAATGTATTTCACACCATCAACATTAAATTTTTTCAACCATGAATGGTATTAATCCTTTGCCGTCGCTTGGAGTTGATAAGGCAATGCATCACCCAGTTTGCGAATCTTACAAGACGTCTGTAATTATTGTATCCGTGTATTGTATAACTCATTAAGTTATTATCACCCCACCAATGTGTACTTATCCTGTTGAATTGGCTTCCTGTCGTATTGGCTTCTTCATCATCTGTTCTCTGTCCATCATGTTGCTACAGTATAATCCTTCTGTTGTCATCACTTAACCTACTCATGTTAATCTCCCTCCACCTACTATATATATTCTGTACCATGTTCATTATTCAGCCGGGGGCACGGGTGGCCCAGTCGTCTAAGGCGCCGAGATTCGCTGTGCAGAGTTGCGTCCCTTCGGCACGCCAGAAACCGATGATTGTGGGTTCGAATCCCGGTTCGCCCCGATTATGTTTCTAGGTTTGTCAGCACCATACCCGTGCTCTTGGGTTTCACCGAAGTGGTAAACGTCTGAGACCTGCATCACTTCGGGCTTTCCTCCCACATTAAGCTGACACGCCGCGATATGACTGGAATACTGTTAAAAGCGGCGTTAAACCCAACTCACTCACTCACTCATTATTCAGCCATGCTTGACAACGGATAAGAATCTATACCGAAACATCGTCATTACAGTAATAAAAAAAAATTGTTATTCATAAATTGTGTCAACTTCAAAGTAATGCCCATCAAACAATTAATATGGGACATGTGGATGTTGTTTTGCAACAATAGAATTTTGATACCTTCTGGCCTTCTTTAAGACAGGCCTTGGATTTCCTAGTTGGTAAGGTCTCAGCTTCTCTGAAATTAACAGTGCCATTTTGGCCTTATTAAAATTATGAAGACAGCAGAATTGACAAATCAATAGCGTGGACAGCACCCCGCAGTCACAAGATTTATGAGAGAAATTTTCACTTTGAGGCCTTCCTTACGTCGGATTAATGTAACGTGGGACGTGACTTTCTCAGAGGTGTTAATGAATATGTATCCTTCTTTTAATGAAGCTAGTAACTTTGTTGCTACTTCTTTCAGGACTGAATTCAGGTGAGGTGAGGTGAAATGGGGTTTAACGTCGCGTCCAAGATTATTGCACTTATATAGCGACGTGCATGCACGTGTATGTGTGTGGCTGCTTGTACTAGTCCGGACTGATGCCGATTTATGGTGCTAGCACACTGAGATACCATGCCGCAGTTAAACATGAATGCCCCACTCAGACAAAGTATACTGACTCCGAGCCGAGCTTGTTTTAGCCCCTTAATGACGAGCGCCATCTTTTAACGTCTTTTGGTATGACGCGGCTGGGGATCGAACCCCGAACCTTCCGCTCTCCGGGCGGACGCTCTACCACTAGACCACGGAGGCGGTCCGACTGAATTCAGTCAATCCATTTAACTGACAGTAGAAATATTGACATTTCTAATACACGGGTCAAGATTTGGGGATTTTAAAAAATATCTTAGTGCCGGATATCAACAGGAAGAACGTTTCAGAGGTATCCAGACAAAGTGAGTGAGTGATTTGTGTTTAACGCCCTTTGTAACATTATTCCAGTTATATCGCGTCGTGTCAGCTTAATGTGGGAGTAAAGCGCTAAGCGATGCAGGCCTAAGGCGTTTACCACCTCGGTGAAACCCACGAGCACGGGCATGGTGCTGACAAACCTAGAAACATTATCGGGTCGAACCGGGATTCGAACCCATAATCATAGGTTTCTGGCGTGCCGAAGGGACGCAAGTCTGCACAGCGAATTGCGGCGCCTTAGACGACTGGGCCAAACATGCCCCTATAATGTCATGTACATACACTGACAAGTAAAAAGATCATTGAACCAAAACTGGTAAAAAATGTTCACACTGATACCTTTTGTTCTGCTTGAATCGTCCGACTTTGTCTGATTTTTGTTCCACGAAGGAAAGGACTGGAGAAGCTGCGTTTGAGTTTGTCCATGGTTCCCGGTTCGTATTAAGACGAGGTTGTCTGTGATTCAATGTGAACGCGTGTCCACTAAGGGGAAGAGATGCAAATCTGATTTAATATTTTGACGAGTGATCAATCAATGGGTATCTTACGTTACCAGGAAGCGGGGAAAGCGCGACATCTGGTTGCTAATCAACACAAGTCAAAGTAGAGTATTTTCGAACCTGGCACTTCCTGGTTGAGAGACAACGTGTGACTGACGTATCAAATGTGTGGATTTCAAAGTAGAATAGGCACACACATCCTGTATATTCAACTGCGCTTAATTGAATTTAGAACCGAATGCGCAGCATGAGGTTTCAAATGTTAAATTTAGTTTACATTAAAAAAGCTCTCCATCTTTATCAAAGTCTTGAGCAACACTTAAAATGGATAATTCGAATGCGCCTAAAAATGTTTTTTTTTATGTAAAAGAAATTAAATACAGTTCATACCAATACCATACCAGCCAATTAAATTATGATTAGAACAGAATGAGCATTATTGGAGATAAGAGTTACTGTGGTGGCCATGAGAAAACTTGTTTTAATGTCAACAGTATGATCTGTTAACAGACGAGGTGAACTGGGGTTTCACGTCACGTTCAACATTAGTGCACTTATATAGTGTACTAGTGCGGACTAATGCCGATTTAATAGTCCTAGCCCGCTGAGATGCCGCAGTTTAACATAAATACATCACTCAAACACAGTATACTGACTCCGAGCCGACCAGTCCTTGTTTTAGCCCCTAATGCCGAGCGTCAGACAGGGTAACAACAAGTACCATCTTTCAACGTCTTTTGGTATGACGCGGCCGGGGATCGAACCCCGGACCTTCCGCTCTCCGGGCGGATGCTCTACCACTAGACCACGGAGGCAGGCGCGTTGTTGACGAGTTTGTGAAACATAGTTGTGGACAAGCCTCCGTTGGATATTAAATTAGTTTTGTATGGCATGACTAAAACTCGAATGCTGGTCAATTGATTTCTATCCAACACAAATAGACCATACTTTGTAATTATATACGTCTAACAATATATATTCTATTCTGCTTCTCTACCTCTGCCTATTCGCAATACTGTAATGGGATGATGTAAATATTAAGGAGATGGTGTTCTAAGTTTTACTATTGTGAATAGTATATGTTTAAAATAAAAAAAATACTTTCACCAATGTTCCTGTGGTGAATCTGTATCGCCATCCACTCCGGCTACACCCCGTTTAGCGTCGTGTTGGTAACCGAGAATGTTTGTTTGTTTGTTGTTTAACGCCGTACTCAGCAATATTACAGCTATATTACGGCGGTCCGTAAATAAACAGAGAATGTTCAACAGATATATAATGGTTATATCTTCAAGCTGTTACGAAGGAACTGTTAATAATGCTGAATTCTATTACAAAACAACAAACTTGATAAAGCAATTTTCCTGACGACTTCAGCCGTATGTCTAGGTACGATGTTGATACGTGTTCCCTTTTCTGCACCCAACCATGTCATAATGTATGCCTCGTGTAATAGGTTGGTTACGAATTGGCTGTTTGAGTAATTTGATACATGTCTTCTCTGGCAGTTTACCAAACACCTTTGTTGAGAGTCACCAGCATGACAGGGCGTCGTGATCTGATGCTGTGCGACGTGAAGGGAGTTGTTGTGTTTGCGTCATACAGATCCCCCCATGATGGGGTGGTACGCTTTTGCAATCAACATGGCAACGAAACTCATTGTCACTCTTGTCATGATGACGCCACTCACAGGTGAGTAAACTCGGTTGTTAGCATCCATTTTCTATTTTTCATTTTTCGCTTTGATAGTAAAAGTTACAGGTGAGCGACGTTTGTTTGTTCATTCTATACACCTTCCCTTCTCCAGAGGGCACGGGTGGCCCAGTCGTCTAATGCGCCGCTAATCGCTGTGCAGAGTTGCGTCCCTTGGGCACGCCAGAAACCTATGATTGTGGGTTCGAATCCCGGTTCGCCCCGATTAGGTTTCTAGGTTTGTTAGCAAAATACCCGTGCTCGTGGGTTTCATCGAAGTGGTAAACGTCTGAGACCTGCATCACTTCGGATTCTCCCACATTAAGCTGACACGCCGTGATGTAACTGGAATACTGTTAAAAGCGGCGTTAAACCCAACTCACTCACTTACTCCCATCTCCAGCCTCACTCTCGCATGAATGACGATCAAATCATGGCTAATTTGTATAAGGTGCTTAATCCGACCAATGGGATCGTTTGGTCAGACTCGCTGACTTGCTTGATGCATGTCATCGTATCCCAACTTCGTAGATCGATGCTCATGATGGTCAATCACTGGATTGTCTGTTCCAGATTATTTACAGACCTCCGCCATATACGTGGAATATTGCTGAGAGCGGCTAAACAGCAAACCAAACATGACTTGTCATCTACATCTTGAAATGGATTCGTTGTGTAATAACGTCATTAATATCCAACTATAATGTCACCAAAACCTGCCAAACATGTCACCAAAACCTGCCAAACATGTCACCAATACCTGCCAAACATGTCACCAATACCTGCCAAACATGTCACCAATACCTGCCAAACATGTCACCAAAACCTGCCAAACATGTCACCAAAACCTGCCAAACTTGTCACCAATACCTGCCAAACATGTCATCAATACCTGCCAAACATGTCACCAATACCTGCCAAACATGTCACCAAAACCTGCCAAACATATCACCAAAACCTGCCAAACATCATAAATACCTGCCAAACATGTCACAAATACACCATAATAGGAAACGGTAATCGACTTTTGGCAATGCAACCAAACCAATGAAGGTGGTTTGGGCTTAAATCCGACAGATATAAAGAAACGTTAACCACAACCCTACCCTAGCCATGCATGCCATGCCCATGTAACAGATCGATATTGAGATGTATTCATTTCCATCAGCTGCAACTCCCGACCCCTGCACCGACCACAAGTACATCTACGACAAGGGAGGTCGCAGTCCCAAATGTCCCTATCAGCCAGTGGAGTGTGACCGCTACATCACCGAGAACTGGTACAAGGTGGTCAACTATCATGGAGCTCTGGAGATGCCAACATCGCACGTGGACATCAACAGCTGCGGCGCCAACTACCCCGGCTGGCTGAATGGTATGTTGTGTGATTTATGAAACATGATTCTTCAGCACTGAGGTCTACAAAGCCTTTTTGATTTTTGGTTTGGTTTGTTGTTTAACGCCGCACTCAGCAATATTCCAGCTATATGACGGCGGTCTGTAAATAATCGAGCCTGGACCAGACAATCCAGTGATTGACATAAATGAACTACCGCGATAATATAGCGTGCTATCCGATTGAGCAGGCAGAATAGATCACAAGTAGCCTATACTTGTCGTGGGATTCACGCATGTAGATGAGATCAGGTTATGTGACTTTCCTGGTTGTATGTTATCCGTCTCGCCTCTGGGAAGTTCTTATCAACCACTGGCTTGTCTGTCCCGGACCCGATATTGATACACTGATGCGATACTGCTTGTACATTGCTGACTCGACGTAAAACAAGAAACGACAAGGTAAAATTAGGTTGTGTTATTCATAACACAATAAGCTTCCGCCATGTATCACGTCATCTGTTACAGGGACACACCCATCCGTCCGTGACGGCGTTGTGCATAGATCCGTGTGCGTCAGCGGCTACAACGACTCTTGCATGAAGCGTGTGATAATCCAGGTGAAGAACTGTGGACACTTCTATGTGTACTACCTTGTGAAGATGGACGGTTGTTCGGAGAGATACTGCTTTGGTAAGTTGCAATACTCACAGTGTTAGGATCCCATGCAGTTTTGTAAACTCCCAAATACCTAAAAGAGCTATTCTTGCACGTTGGCATGACCTTTGTTGGTCGACAGCCTTGTTATGGAAATTAAGAACTCTACCAACATCTCCAGGAAAGTAGGGGCGGTCGGGTAGCCTAGTGGTTAAAGCGTTCGCTCTTCACGCCGAAGACCCGGGTTCGATTCCCCATATGGGTACAATGTGTGAAACCCATTTCTGGCGTCCCCCGCCGTGATATTGCTTGAATATTGCTAAAAGCGGCGTAAAACCGAATTCACTCACTCACCAGGAAAGTGTGATAAGTTCGATAACACAATCACGTATCAATCACGATGTACTTCTTAACCCAGAATAAAACCTAGAAATGGCGAAGTGAAATTTGCAAAAATGTTAGGTGGTATAAACCTTATTAAAAAGAATTTTCCTATTATCTGTATGAAAAGGTACTACGTTCCTGGAACATATCATATATGATCTATTTAAAGTTTATCTGTCATCAAGGACACGCAAATTCGCATGTATATGGTACTAGTCAAAATAAGGAATTGCATCAGACGTCATTTTTGTCACTGATGCGTCCACTTTGGAAATGTCCTCCACATGTCTACCATAAAATACTTTGAAAGCTTTCCCTGATGCAATGAATGTCACAACCTTAATCAACAACTTTAAGGCATTAAACGTATGAAATCTATGTAATCTTCAGCATGTAGTTTAAGTAATTAAATTAGTGGAAGAGAATTGGCTATTTGACCGTTATTGAAGGATATCAGCTTAACTTTAACTACTAGTGTTTGAACAAATTCCCTTGTTTTGACTTTGCTATTCTCAGCGGATATTTCGATTCATATATCAAAAGAAACAGATTACCCAGGAGAGCACAACCGATGCCTTTGACCGCTTTTCCTAATGCACTGAATGTTGTAACCTGGATCAAACAACTTCGTAGCCAGAGTTGTATGATGCTGTTTGAAATCTTCGTAGAAAGAGCATACTCGATTTGACCTTGAAATGTAGACAACAAGGGCTGGAGCTGCTGGAGTATTGCTCGACATATTGGGAAAGTTGACTATTGGAAAGTCTTATAATTTAGTCTTGTGGATGTACATATGTTGTCTGAACATGCTTGCCTTGGGGATAAAGACAATACATTCATCATGAATGTGAGTGAGTGAGTGAGTTTTTTTAACAGTATTCCAGTTATATCGCGGCGTGTCAGCTTAATGTGGGAGGAAAGCCCGAAGTGATGCAGGTCTCAGACGTTTACCACTTCGGTGAAACCCCCGAGCACGGGTATGGTGCTGACAAACCTAGAAACATAATTGGGGCGAACCGGGATTCGAACCCACAATCATAGGTTTCTGGCGTGCCCAAGGGACGCAACTCTGCACAGCGAATCTCGGCGCCTTAGACGACTGGGCCACCCGTGCCCCCACATTCATCATAAACAGTTTGATTAAGATTATGCAGTAGTTATGAGGGAGGCGTTCTGTCAGAACCATTTCCAACAAAAACACTCTGCTCACAGGTATAGATGGCATCTGTCCCCGGACTGAAGCAGAAAGAGAGCAAGGGGAGACAACCTGTCTACATAACGAGCAAGGGGAGACTACCTGGCTAGATAAAGAGCTAGGAGGGACACCTTTGCCAGATACAAAGAAGAGGAAGGCAAATGTGGACGTGGATGTTGATGGACCTATTCCTTCAAGCGCAAACTTTGAAAAAGGTACACATATTAAACACACAGAGGTATGTATGAAGACACAAATACAAATACATCCCGAACAACGAACACACCAACAAGCGCACCACCACAACCCGCCCTCCCCTCGCAGTAGCATATTTCGTATGTTCAAGATACTGGGAATGTTGCTTAAGTAAACACTTAAATCAATAGGACCGCCCCCGTGGTCTAGTGGTAGAGCGTCCGCCCGGAGAGCGGAAGGTCCGGGGTTTGATCCCCGGCCGCGTCATACAAAAAGACGTTGAAAGATGGTACTTGTTGTTACCCTGTCTGGCGCTCGGCATTAAGGGGCTAAACAAGGACTGGTCGGCTCGGAGTCAGTATACTGTGTCTGAGTGGGGTATTTATCTTTAACTGCGGCATGGTATCTCAGTGTGCTAGTACAAGCAGCCACACACACACGTGCAAGCACGTCGCTGTATAAGTGCAGTAATCTTGGACGCGACGTTAAACCCAATTTAACCTCACCTCACCTCACCTCACCTTAGATCAATAGTGCATTTGGATAAAGTATTGCTGTGTCATGCCAAATACCTAGGTTAGATTACGCAAATGGTACAATGTGTGAAGCATGCCCCATCACCATGACATGGCTGGAATATTGCTGAAAGTGGCGTAAAACCATACTCACTCCGTGGTGCGGGTTATTATTGATCTTCAGCAACCCATGCGACTGACTGGATCGGGTGGTCAGGTTCGCTTACCTGGTTGATGCATGTCATCGTATCCCGTTGCGCGAATCAATGCTCATGTTATCAATCACTCGATTATTTACAGACCGCCGTCATATAGCTGGAATATTGCTGAGTGCTGAGTATAAAAAACAAAACAAACAAACACTCACAACCTGTAAATGTGTAGTATGTTGAAAAATGTATTTTCTATGAAACAAATTTAATCATAGTGTAATTTGCTTAATTTTCACAGGTGATACATGGACTGTTGCGGTTTTGATGTCGTGCCTAAGAGTACTGATCTCATCGTTGGAAACATTCTAACATTGTCTGTTTGTTGTTTAACGCTGCAGTCAGCAATATTCCAGCTACATGATGGCGGCCTGTAATTAATCGAGTCTGGATCAGACAATCCAGTGACATCTAACATTGTCCTTTACATGCATCAATATGTAACTGCTGACTGCATTTTTCTCTTTGATAACTAAATAGATGTCAAGACACTGTTGTCTTCCTGTAAATAACTTAAGTCGCTCGAGACACAAATGTTGCGTGGCGAGATGATATCCGGTGTATTGTTTATATACTAAAATATATAACTGCGTCAGATGGAAACACAATCTGAAAGTGATATACTATTTTAAATCCTTTTCACTTTTTAAACAACAATGCAAAAACAAACTCACTAAATGCAAGATACATTATTCTTTAGATAGGGTGTCAGCGTGGCCAATACGGTAACTTGTCAAAGCGAAAGCCATACAGACTGCTAGAATATATAAATATTTGTCAGCAATGTTTGTTACACGAGTTTATTCAGTAAAAGAAAAAAGAAAATGTCTCCTACTCTAAACGGTGCATGTATGTAGAAACATTAACTCTAAAATGTTTTGTGTGTTACGGTCATTAATATTGTGATAAGGTCTTTTTGGTTGTGGCAGTGGATAACATGCACTTTTTTGTTTTGATATTACAAAAGTTCTTTTTTTGTATTTTGGGTTTATTTCAAACCATAATGTTTGTAATTTACACCTGTTGAACGAACACTTGGGGTATAATAAAAATGGTCCAACTTTAACAGCAGCTCTCCGATTCATTGAGCAAGGAAGACCAGTAGGCTCATGCATGTATGAGTGAGTGAGTGAGTATGGGTTTACGCCGCTTTTAGCAATATTCCAGCAATATCGCGGCGGGGGACACCAGAAATGGGCTTCACACATTGTACCCATGTCGGGATTCGAACCCGGGTTTTCGGTGTGACGAGCGAACGCTTTAACCACTAGGCTACCCGACCGCCCCTCATGCATGTATGAGCTAGAAGATAGTTTTTCCTTGAGCCAGAGCACGGTTTCAGGATTTCCTGTGTTTGTTTGCTTGTTGTTTAACGCCGCACTCAGCAATATACCAACTATATTGCTACGGTATGTAGATAATTGAGTCTGGACCAGACAATCCAGTGTTGGACATCATGAGCATCGATCCACGCAATGGGGATATGATGACATGCATCAACCAAGTCAGCGAGCCTGACCACCCGATCCCGTTTGTCGCCTCTTACGACATGCATAGTCACCTTTTACGGCAAGCATTGGTTGCTGAAGACCTATTCTACCCCGGATCTTCACGGGTGATTTTCTGTATGTATTGGTGGATTGTCTGACGTTGCCTAATAAATTCTCTCGAACATTCATTCCTTTGCTTAATTTCTTCCATAAAACGAGCTTATTCCCCGGAGACCACGCGCAGTGCCAGTTGTACATTGCGGCACGCTTTGTTTGGTTGTTGTTTAACGCCACACTCAGCAATATGCCAGCTATATGACTGCGATCTGTAAAAATTCGAGTCTGGCCCAGACAACTAAGTGGTTGACATCTTGAGCAATTATGATACAATGACGTGCATCAACCAAACCAGCGAGCCCGACCACCCGATCCCGTCAGTCATCTTTTATAAAAAGCATGGGTGACTGAAGACCAATTCTAACCCGGATCTCCACGGGGGAGAAGCGTGGTGTGACTGAAGACCAATTCTAACCCGGATCTTCACGGGGGACAAGCGTGGTGTGACTGAAAACCAATTCTAACCCGGATCTCCACGAGGGACAAGCGTGGTGTGACTGAAAACCAATTCTAACCCGGATCTCCACGAGGAACAAGCGTGGTGTGACTGAAAACCAATTCTAACCCGGATCTCCACGAGGGACAAGCGTTGTGTGACTGAAGACCAATTCTAACCCGGATCTCCACGGGGGACAAACATTGGGTGATTAAGACCAATTCTAACCCGGATCTCCACTGGGGACAAGCGTGGTGTGACCGAAGACCAATTCTCACCCGGATCTCCACGGGGGACAAGCATGGATTGATGAAGACCAATTCTTACCCGGATCTTCACGGGGGACAAGCATGGGTTGATGAAGACCAGTTCTAGCCCGGATCTCCACGGGGGACAAGCGTGGTGTGACCGAAGACCAATTCTCACCCGGATCTCCACGAGGGACAAGCGTGGTGTGACTGAAGACCAATTCTCACCCGGATCTCCATGGGGGAAAAGCTTGGTGTGACTGGAAACCAATTCTAACCCGGATCTCCACTGGGGACAAGCGTCGGGTGATGAAGACCAATTCTAACCCGGATCTTCACGGGGGACAAGCGCGGGGTCATGAAGACCAATTGTAACCCGGATCTCCACAGGGGACAAGCGTTGGCTGATGAAGACAAATTCTAACCCGGATCTCCACGAGGGGACAAACATGGATTGATGAAGACCAATTCTAACCCGGATCTCCACGGGGGACAAGCATGGATTGATGAAGACCAATTCTAACCCGGATCTCCATGGGGGACAAACATGGATTGATGAAGGCCAATTCTAACCCGGATCTCCACAGGGGACAAACATGGATTGATGGAGACCAATTCTAACCCGGATCTCCACGGTGGACAAGCGTGGGGTGATGAAGACAAATTCTAACCCGGATCTTTACAGGGGACAAACATGGATTGATGAAGACAAATTCTAACCCGGATCTCCACAGGGGACAAGCATGGATTGATGAAGACAAATTCTAACCCGGATCTCCACGGTGGACAAGCGTGGGGTGATGAAGACAAATTCTAACCCGGATTTCCACGGGGGACAAGCATAGATTGATGAAGACCAATTCTAACCCGGATCTCCACGGGGGACAAACATGGATTGATGAAGACCAATTCTAACCCGGATCTCCACAGGGGACAAACATGGATTGATGGAGACCAATTCTAACCCGGATCTCCACGGTGGACAAGCGTGGGGTGATGAAGACAAATTCTAACCCGGATCTTTACAGGGGACAAACATGGATTGATGAAGACAAATTCTAACCCGGATCTCCACAGGGGACAAGCATGGATTGATGAAGACAAATTCTAACCCGGATCTCCACGGTGGACAAGCGTGGGGTGATGAAGACCAATTCAAAACCGGATCTCCACGGGGGACAGGCATGGGTTGATGAAGACCAATTCTAACCCGGATCTCCACGGGGGACAAGCGTGGGGTGATGAAGACAAATTCTAACCCGGATTTCCACGGGGGACAAGCATAGATTGATGAAGACCAATTCTAACCCGGATCTCCACGGGGGACAAACATGGATTGATGAAGACCAATTCTAACCCGGATCTCCACAGGGGACAAACATGGATTGATAAAGACCAATTCTAACCCGGATCTCCACGGTGGACAAGCGTGGGGTGATGAACACCAATTCAAACCCGGATCTCCACGGGGGACAAGCATTGGTTGATGAAGACCAATTCTAACCCGGATCTCCACGGGGGACAAGCGTGGGGTGATGAAGACCAATTCTAACCCGGATCTCCACGGGGGACAAGCATGGGTTGATGAAGACCAATTCTAACCCGGATCTCCACGGGGGACAAGCGTGGGGTGATGAAGACCAATTCAAACCCGGATCTCCACGGGGGACAAGCGTGGGGTGATGAAGACCAATTCAAACCCGGATGTCCATGGGGGACAAGCATAGATTGATGAAGACCAATTCTAACCCGGATCTCCACGGGGGACAAGCGTGGGGTGATGAAGACCAATTCTAACCCAGATCTCCACGGGGATGTGACAGTTCATGACAAAACTGAGAGCAGCTGTCATATTAAGTTTACCGAGAAAAATAATATATACTCAACCGCAAAAGAAACGCAAGTTGTACATAAAATGCGGATACCGTTATGACAATAAAAGACATGTAGATAATAAAAAGAAACCTTACTGGCCGCACATCGCCGAGGAATCCCGTTCCATGCCAACACGAAAATGGCTTCCAGTTCCTGAAGTGGATGTGGCTGCCCTTACAGCCTGAAGAGCAATCTCCCAATCTCGTCTAAGACATGCTCAAATGGCGCCATTGCCGGTGATAAAGGGCATCACGGGAATGTTTTTCACTCTGAGGAAGTCCATAGAGACCCGTGCTGTATGGGGACGAGCGTTGTCCTGCTGAAAGACCTTGAGTTGAGGTTGACCCAGAAAGAGAAGTCTGATGTGATTACGAAGAACATATTCCCTGTACACAACAGCAGTTTCACGCTGACGGAACACGGGGCCCTGTGATGATAACTGAAGCTGTCGGTCACGCAGATATGTTACCCCGGATGTAACGGTCATGCGCTGGAGTAAACCCTCAGCCTTCCAGAACGAGGCCGGTCTTGCACACTGCCTGTCTGTTGATACCTTGCGACCAATCTGGTGATGGTAGACACATGACAACCAGAGTGCCTCTCCACTGCTGTTGACATTAATCCGGCCTGTAGTATCCCCATGGCAACGCCTCTCTGGAGTTCAGTTAATCGAACCATGTTTCCTGTCCTTTTGCAAAGTCGAGTGTGAGATGCTTAGTGTTTTTTTATATAGTGGACAAGGGGAAAATGCACGCATATTTGAATGTGATTTGCGCAAAAACGTGCAAAAAGCGTCAAACGAGACGATGCGACCGCTCAAAATGTTGTAAAATAGTGAACAGGGTTTCTTCAACGCTTCTCTTAACGTTTGTATACTTTTCCTTTTCACAAATTAATATTTTGTGCATTTCACGACAAAAAAAATGACTTGAGTTTCTTTTCGGTTGAGAAAATGTGGACAGTCGGGTTTGCTCACTGACACAGACATTTGGGAATAAGACAAGAAGTAAGCATTCCCATAGGCACCAGTGGTGCTCTCCTAGCTGATCTGTTTTTTTATATTAGAATACATATGAATCGAAATATCTGATTAGAATGGCAAAGTCAAAACAAGGGAATTCGATCCAATAACTTAAGCTTCAGATGTATCGATGAGCTGATGTCCTTCAATAACGGTTAAATAGCCAGTTCTCTTTCTTTGATTTACCTACTTGAACTACATGCTGAAGATTTCAAAGATATCATGCAATTCATGCTTAAAAGTTGTTGATCAAGATTACAACATTCAAGGCCCCAGCAAAGCTTTCAGACAGGTTTATGTTAAACATGTTGAGGACATATCCAAACTTAACCTTCAGTGACTTATACCATATGTTCACGTATTTTGTTCAGGTAAACAATTGACCTGCCTGTGTATGTGTTTGTGATGGGTGGCACCGGAGGGGCAAATGTCTACCCATACATTCGTTGAGGCTACTTAGAAAATCAAAAGCTTTTAATTACGTTTCAGAATAATAATTTGCCTCAATGTTATGTGTATTAAATAATTACTACATAAAGAATTTGCATTTCCAGAAACATTTTATGGTGTTGTAATTTGTGAAATTTGATATTGTTACATTTCAGTGCCGATTTACCCAATGTAATTGCTTTATCTACTAACGGAAGTCAGGTGAAATAAAGAAACTGCAAAGTCAGAGTTTGAATTATATGTATTAAACTGTTTATCAATTACAGTCACAATATCACAATAGTAACCAGACACAGGTGAAAATACAATAACGAAAACGACATTCCAACATATACATACAAGGGGAGATAAATCATGTCAGGATACAAGCACATGGAACATGATAATACATATGTCATATGAATAAGTTGCAAAACGACACAAATCTAACCTTGTCACTTTATAATGTGACGCTTACACGATATACGGCTTTCCATTGGACGATAATCGGTCACCTGGCGCGAAGCTGACGTCCATAAGTGTATCTACAACACATTTTGACGTTCATTCGTATTTTACGAGACTGTATTCTCGAAATGACGTGTTCACTGGCGGACTGCCTCCACATTCCTGAGGAAACCATTGGGAATTCCCTTGCATGAATGCATGAATAAATGCAACAGCGTTCTTTCTAATTTAGACTCTATAATTTTGAACATAGCATTTTACCATACATGGCGATATTTCAGAGAGTTTAATTGTATGCCCATTCAAGAATATCCGCGCCACGATCCATCCTAGTGAACAAAACGAAGAATATCACATCAAAACTATGGACTCGATTGCTGTCCAGACTGACAAGTAACCGCAAACAGCATACTTTAAATTTACCTCAGTACTAGTATCTATTTGACACATCTTTATACATGTAGTCTCCTTTCACTGATCGGCCTGTTGATCAATGAAGACTAATATTTTGTAATCGCCACAGGTTCATGAACAACTTCGGAAATCTCTCCCGTTACGTTTATCGTGTCGGCCATTTTGACTTTCTGTATATGATGTAAATGTCTTACGACGCGCCGCCACCATGACTGACTTATTGAGATTGTTCTTTAGAGACATTTTCATCATAAATAATAATATTTTTTGAATTTATTTGTTGTAACCAAACCACAATAGATGTTCAAGAAGAATCCATCCCCCGACTTATACAATAGTGATATAAAAAATTATATTTACTTTCATTTTGTGTGAGTTTATTGGTGTATGAACCTTCATAGAGTGAGGGCCGGGCATTGCATAAACGTCATCGCAAGCTCCGACGTTCATACAGTGTGGCCCTCATCTTATGAAGGTTCATGCCTTGAACTCTAAGTGAAAGTCAATTCTTAAATAGTCAAAGAATACATATGTTTATCTTTAACCGTCTCGATATTTACACAATAAAGTTCTCTATCATGTCTTACACATGTATGAACAGAGATTTCTACAATGAAACGACCAACTAAGTACGCATATTTTAGGGGGGCAATGCTGTTTTTTCAGCCGGCTTCGTAAGATCGAGGACCGAGACCCGAGGACGCGTCGAATCTAGACCAAAAGAAATCAGGTTATTATAACAATTTTACCACATTTATATATTCTTGTAAAAAGTAGGAGATCATGAAATATAAATGTTAATACCAATTATTATAAAGAAGACAAGTGTTGATGATAGTGAGTATGGATTTACGCCGCTTTTAGCAATATTCCAGCAATATCACGGCGGGGAACACTAGAAATGGGCTTCACACATTGTACCCATGTCGGGAATCGAACCCGGGTCTTCGGCATGACGAGCGGACGCTTTAACCACTAGGCTACCCGACTGCCCCTGTTGATGATAAACATCCCGTGAAAGAACGTTCATGTCTGAAACACTTAACAACAAAACACTTCCTATCGTGTGCACGTTCCGCAAGCAGTAGAACTACACTAGTGCGTAGGGTGTCTTTCTGGATTTTGACACCTTCAAAGAAGGTCGATGTGTCTCTGTGGACCATTATTTCTCTCAATTGTACTGATTCTGCGTATCATACAGTTGTGATTCACTTGAGTTAATTTCTGTTTTAGTGAATGAACGAGCGATGCGGCGTCTGCAACGCGCGGATCGTCTACTTGCGATTGACATGCCTAATTCTGACAGATGTCAAGGTGCAGTGACCAATACGTTCAATGTTTCACAGTGTGTGATTAGCGGACTATGGAACAGGTACTAACAAACCAGAAATGTTGATGATCGACCCCGTTCAGGGCGTCCCAGGTCAACGACAAGAGTACATGATTGATTGATCCGAAACTAGGATCTACAAATTCGAGCTCAAACGGCGAATCAAATTGTGGAAAACTTTTATCAGGATACTATAGTAAGTACGGGTCAGACGATTAGAATCGCCTATCGCGATGCTCGACGGCCACATGTTGTGTGACCCCTCACAAATCGTCATATTGTGAATAGATCGCAATGGCGTACGCAACGTCGAGACTGGAGTAATCGTCGCTGGTCGCTTTCAGATGAGTCCCCATTCAATTTGCACTTTCATGATAGGCGTGGTCGTGTCTGGCAACGTCGAAATGAACGTCAAGCCAATGTTAACGTGACACCTCGGGGGATCGGATATGGTGTGAGGTTGCAGCACTGTAATTGAGCGAACCCCACAGGCACTGGACAGTACTATGCCGGCGCATACCGCCACCGTTGTTGTCCCGTTTGCAAGGTGTACTGGTCGACGTTTTGTCTTTCTGTATAACAACGCCTGTGCTGACCGTGTACGAATCGTCAATTCTCGGGAGACGTATGCGTCAACGTCATAGATTGCAAACCACGTTGTCTGAACTTGGCCAGGCGGTGAAAGAGGGGTAGGACAGACTTCCTCAAACTATCAGAGCGAGTGTCATACGCTGTATGCCTCGTCAAGTGAAAGAATGTTTTACGCACTACTAATAAAAAACGTCAACATTGAAATTTCCCATCGTACCCCTAGCGTCCTTCAAGATCGTTGGCTGTCATGACATCTACTACTTCATTACTGGTTGTAATGTATTTAATGCGTTCATGCATTGATAGCAACTAATATCTCTTACAAGATTGGAAATTTTACGTTAGTTCCGAATACACCCTACTTTCGTATAAGTTATGAAAGAAGTGGATTTTTGTTCATATGCCAACAACAGTTTAATATTATGTTTTGAATTGATAAAGTTTATAGACTGATCAAATAATAGAACCACATACAATCTGTTGCTTCCAAATGACGTTTATTAAACGGAATCAAATACAGCCTAGTACGCATGCAACTATATTTATCATATAATGGAGAGTGTCTGCGATCCGATATACCTTGTTATACAATCGATAAGTAAGAAAATGTTATTATCAAGCCAGACCTCCTTTTATTAATCTCACTAAACCGACGTGACGAGTACTGGGATTCAAAACGTTGAGGTAGTTTCTTGATGTGTGAGTGCTCATGTTAACAAATATGTCTGCAGATCAGTTGGCGCTATATCATATATTGGTCGGTTGACCAAGGAGTTACTTTTCCTTTGGTGAATGAGTGAGTGAGTGAGTTGGGTTTAACGCCGCTTTTAACCGTATTCCAGTTATATCACAGCGTGTCATCTTAATGTGGGAGGAAAGCCCGAAGTGATGCAGGTCTCAGACGTTTACCACTTCGGTGAAACCCTCGAGCACGGGTATGGAGATGAACAAACCAAGAAACATAATCGGGGCGAACCGGTTTCTGGCGTGCCCAAGGGACGCAACTCTGCACAGCGAATCGCGGCGCCTTAGACGACTGGACCACCCTTGCTCCCTTTGGTGAATGAAAACACGTCTTTAACTTTGATTGTTTTCAGAATGGCACTACATGAAAATTTGTGTTTTCGAATAAAAACATAATCATAATACCATTCCCCTTATAAGCTATTTATGATACTGGAACACACTATTAAGCTCCAAATATTATTCGTATTTCGCGAAAGTAATTACATTCACTTACAACGATTTGAGAGATTCTTTGACAGTCTGTATTAATTGTTCTTGTTTGTTTTAAATGTCAGAAAAGTACATAGACACGTTTATCAGCCGGCGTGGACATTTTTTTGTGAAGACATTTTATATATGAATACTGGCTATTTAATTCAATACCAATGTTGACCTTTTTTCGGATCTGTAAAATATATATACTCCAAACACATGCTTAATATCTGAACGTGCTGCTTCCAACAGATTGCTGCTTGAATTCAACATAATCAGTTACCTTTGTATGCGTGTCATTATTTAAAGACAGACGTAAAATTACCAATGTCTCAATTGCTTGATCTAAGAATACTCACTGTAATATAGCTTTAATAGGAAACACAACACCGCTGCTGCCCCCAATGTTGCCAGACAGATCGTCAATGTGCGGTAGATCTCCGAGGTGCACTCTTAAAGAAAAATATGTCAAATTCAACATAGGAGAAATTCTTACGTTGAATAACGAGGCTTTTGTTATCAGTTTAGAAACGTGTTCAGATAAAAGGTATGATACTCCTTTCATCCTTTTACAAAGGTAAAGATGGAACGAAACTGATGAAATAATATGCTACACAACTGATATTATACATAAAGTATCAATATTTATTTATGACAGAACAATATTATTTAAGCAATTATATTTATAATTTTCATGCATTAGTAATTACCACAATAATTATTGACAGTTCTAGGGGTAAGTGTGGGTTGGGCAGTAGTTGGTGCTGCTGTAGTAGGTGCTGCTGTAGTTGGTGCTGCTGTAGTTGGTGCTACTGTGGTAGTTGGACAATCGCCATCTGTACCTGCAACACATGATGTCATTCATTGGAAATAATGAATACAATACCTGAAGATATATATGTTGTATTAGTTCATGTCATGTATCTGACTTTGAAAAGTCGATTATGTTAAAGTTTTGATTCATAATCGTCAACTTAAAAGTAGAATTAATCAAACAACAATACGATCATTGTCGTACCGAGTATTAATATCGACAGTTAGATGTACATGGAACCCGTTCTCATGTTCAGACCAGGTGTGGTTATAATGAGTGAATAAGCGATATGTTGGTGAACGTTGAGACGTGTTACTTTGTTGAAACTTTGTTAAGCACGGGTATTCCCAAACGTTCTAAAAGTTGTATCTTTCAACTAACCAGCTCCTTGCCGGTGTATGATTTCAACTTACCAAAGCAGTATCTCTCAGAACAGCCGTCCATCTTCTTTAGGTAGTATACATAGAAATGACTACAGTTTTCCACCTGGATTGTAATTTGCTTTTTGCAGGGTTCATTGTAGAAACTGACACAAACTGCATGTTCCTAATACAGTCAGCGTCGGACGGAAGGGTTCCTGAGTATAAAGTGTAAAAAACAATCAATGTCACATATTAATATTTCTATTATATGCTTCATTTGTCTTTCTTAATTAAAATGTGTATAAAGGTACTCTACCTAAAAACCAACCAATCAGACTTCGTTTATACCATTTTTTCATTTTACAATGGTGATGAGGATTTACAATAAGCCAAAGGATAATCCATTCTTGAATGGTGATATTCAGACAGTTGACTGGACAAAGTAAAGCACAAGAGAGAATGGAGACAATGGGGCTCGGTTATGACAAGGCATCGCCTCCAACCTTCATCAAAAAGGCTTTGTAGACTTCAGTGCTGAAGAATCATGTTTCATAAATCACACAACATACCATTCAGCCAGCCTGGGTAGTTGGCGCCGCAGCTGTTGATGTCCACGTGCGATTTTGGCATCTCCAGAGCTCCATAGTAATTGACCACCTTGTACCAGTTCTCGGTGATGTAGCGGTCACACTCCTCTGGCTGATAGGGACATTTCGGACTGCTACCTCCCTTGTCGTAGATGTACTTGTGGTCGGTGCAGGGGTCGGGTGCTGAGTGGAGTGGAAATCAGGGCCTTGATTTATTTGCAGGTTTACTGGCCATTGCTTTATTTATCAGTGGCATCTGTAAATTCCTGTTAGGATCATGTTTTATTTCAGTGAAAATATAAAACATTAACTCCAGAGGACAACCAGTCTCGATAATCCGACGAAACAGATTCCAGTTAGTATTAAAGGCAAAACATGTGAAGGGATCAGTGATGACACCATTAATGCCTCGTCTATTGACCTTTTTCACACTTCGCTACTTCCGGTTTGAAAGCGAGGCTTGGAGAGCAGAAGGTGAAGGCTGGATAGCACATGAAACACATGGAGATGTCAACAAGGCACGCAATCGGGACAAACTGTGACAATTTAACCATCCCGGTACATTTATCGTAAGTATTGAACATTATTCTTATTGACAAACTATTCTACTGTTATTTGGTCTCCTTACCAATATAAATTTGAGTCTGGCCGTTCTGTTGTGATTTCAATTTAAAATATCCATGACCACCTGGTAACTCCTAGTGCCGTTTATGGTAGCTGAACAGACTTAATACAAATGCTACTGAAATCTTGTAAAGAATAATTCATTGTTTACACACCATTAAGCCAAACTATTTATTGTGAGTTTAAAGAACTTTGCGGGTTGTATTTGAAGTCGAAAAATTGACCTTTTGACCATATCTAGATATATGTCAGAAACTAACTAAATTGATATGTTGATATAGGCTAATGTATCAAATTGTAACCTACTGAGAATTTACAATCGTAACAAATCAGAAGTTTGCATCAGTTGTGTATTTGATGTAAATTGTAATGGACTCAAACGTATTCCAATAAAATATTAGACCTCTAGATCTACTTGTGCTGTTGTGATTGTGAACAGTTGTTATTTTGATTGTCAATGTTGACAGATTAGATAGCATGAGGTGTAATATTTCAACTGAATTATTACATAAAGGGTGTGTAAATATTTAAAGTAAAGTACAGTTTGATCTGAAACTTTGGTAACAATTAATATTTCTACCAAAATGATATTTACTTTACTGTACCAATTTAATCATGTCATGAAATGAACAAAAACCCACCTAATTAATGTCCAGTAAATGTTCAATCTACATGTGATCTTTATATAATTTACAGAAACAGATAACTCTTTAACAGTTTGTATTCAAATATTTCAAATGCATAAATTGATATTGACATTACTAAAAACTTAAAGTATAAAAAGAATTATTTTTAATTCCCATGCGTATTGCAATCATAACTCATTTATTCCCTTTGTTTAATTGTGAAACCCATCTGGTTTTATGTCCACAGATATGTTTTGAAACTTTTAAAACAAAAAGATTTCTTTTGTGCAAGCAATTGCCATGTATTATTGATTATTAATCATATCAATTTATATATAAAAATATAGTTGTGCCTACTGTGTCATTTTTCAATAATTATATTGTTATGATGTAATATTTTACTATTGTTAACAATCTTAAGAACTTTAGTTTTTTTCAATCAAGTCAAGTGGTGTGATCATTTTGATATTTTTTTATAATTCAATCAAAACGAGAAAAATAAAAAAATATAAATACATAGAAGAAATATGTTTTCCTTGTCAAATAACGATGATAGCATGAATTTATCTCATGCTCCTTGTATAGCATGCTCCTTGTGAAAATTCATTCCATTCACGTCGAATGTACCTTATATGATGATTTTAGGGAGACAATACTGACAGCTATCGATAATCTTGGAGGACAAAAAACTCTACATAGTATTCTTTTTGGTGATCCAAACTTAGATGTTTTCCTGAATACAAAAATATTCTTGTCTGTACACAAATTTATAGAAACAACTAACAGATTCAGTAGCTAGCATATTATTGTTTCCAAACTGTTAATCATTAATAATGTTAAATCTATATTCAACACTAAAATGTATAATATTAGGATATGTATGAGATGCACACTGTCTTCACTTTCCAGCACATTGTACATATCCTTCATATGAGCACTGTATATATATTGCACACTATGTTTCCACAATGTGAAGCTTCAACTGTAAATTGTTCATTTTCATAATGTAATATTATGTATAACTGTATATAGGGAGAAGGCGGTAATAAGTGCTGCCCTTTGTCTTTTTGGACAATAAAATATATTTAATAATATTTCATCTTGTGATCTGACAAAGTTAATATTTTCAAGTCAAGATATCAACTTTAGTAAACCACATGAAGAGATAAACATCGCATTTGACAAAATAAATTCAAGTCTTATATTTTCTTTGTGATCTTCATGACCTTACTCAGAAAACCATAGTGTCAATGAGGCAGACTGACTGTAGGTGTGACAAAACGTGATAGTTCACCTGATTTTAATAAAAATCTTATTTATTTCACTCTAGCGATAGTATGTTTTCAGCATGGTCAGTCTAAATAAAGTATTTCATGATTAAAAACATACCGGTAATACAAATATCAAAACGTGTTTCATTAAAACAAGAGTGAATTTCTGTGTGACATTGATATACAGAGCTGTAGTACACTGTCATTAAATTGATGCATCTGTTGAGTTTACTGTTTACACAGAATATACTGTTTGAGTTTTCAACATATCAGATGAATTGATGCCTTCAAGATTGGTCTAAAGTAGCATGTAATGTTACACACTGTGATTAATTTTCCTTAAACTTCTCTATTTCAGAAGAATTTTGTTTTCTAAATAAGCAATATTATGAGAGAAGGTGAATATGCATTGTTTATGAAAAATGTTATTGAAGTAGGAATATTATTACAATGTTATTGAATTATTCATTTCAGGCCAGCGAGTCAACACAATGAAGTACTAGTATCCGGGTGATGTCTGGAGGAGCTTTCTGCTGACAGTAACACAATGGTTACAATGTGCGTCCTGTCAAAGGACGAGGAAGTGAAAAGCCATATTCATTCAATCAACAAATGTGCTTCCTGTCACACTTAAATAGGACGAGGAAGTGAAAAGCCTTATTCACTCACAAATCAACATGGCCAATATTTATCGGACACTGAAAAAGCACATTGTACCATTTGTTTACAAGCAAGAAAATTATTTTCTCCTGGTATTTAATTAGGTGCTTTTGACTGACAAAGACACCCAGTCCATGTTAAGTTTTGAAAACTTATATTGTGAGAAATAAAGATATGAAAATTTCGGTTTGTTTTTCTTTGTTAAATATGAGAAATCCAGATTGTTCCATCAACATATTTTGTACCGATACATATATTTTATCTTGGCTTGATTACCAATTGAAGTTGATTCCTTTTGTTATTTTATCTGTACTCGTATCTGATCAAGACATTTTCAAACTATTCAGGATAAATGTATTAGTAGCTTCCTTTTGATATACAATTACCTATCATCATACAGGATTAGGTGAGGGTGTTCAAGAAGTTCATGCATTATTTATGTTTATCAATTTTTAGTTTCCTTTTAACTTATTTTAAACAGTTCACACATTATTACTTTTGTCGTGCACGGTGCAATCTCAATCGGCAATAATCAGTTAAGTAAGTGATGTTTGAAGAACAAGTAAAGTATCATCTGTCATTGTACACACTGAATAGAGTTATGGCCCCTTCTGAATATTTATTTTGACACGAATTATTTTCATAATTAACATTGTAATATGTTAAAATGAAAATCATAGCAGAAAAAGTGTCTTTTGTCAACTGGACTCATGGCAAAACGATAGTGCGTTGTGCAGCAAACACCACTATGAAACGTGAAATAAACATGATCTCAATCTTGATCTAGGGTTCGCCAAGCCACGCATTGACTGAGCAATTTTGCAAAAGTACACTGACGTGTTTCATGTCATGCGGTTTATTTACGATACAAAACTTCTGTCATTGAATGTACTGTCACACTGTACCTATATGCCGATGAGGTTATGATAAAACAATCTATTTCTGAAATACGTATCTCGAAATGCACCTTTCGATTCACTTCCGGGATCCTGACAGCAAAATGCTTATTCCAGTGTATTACAGGCATATTTTAGTTGGACCTTATGATTTAATGTATTAGATACAGAGGATACCATTTTTTGTTTGTTTGAAATGTCCATCAGTGAAATGCACAACATGCTTTCTGTTCCCTATGAGCTGATGCGACTCTCACTGCGTGGAGCTATGCTCTCCAAGCCTCGTTTTCGATCCAAGATGGCGAAAGTGTGAAAAAGGTCAATAGGAAGAAGGCTCGTGCAGAATTATTAAATAGACTCCATGCAAGTATAATTGCCTTTATGTACACTGTGTAAAAGAGCTTAGCAATACCAATGGCATCGATCAGCTCACACGTGTGTATAGTTAACCTGTTCCGGATAATCGAGTCTGGTAATACTCTTTGTGTTGACGTTACAAATTTAGGTTGCTAATGTTTATGTATGCTAATATACTTTTCAAGGTAACATTATACGCCATATCATGAATGTTCATAACATCACTCACTTACATTTTAATTACCAGTCTGAATTCTTAACACATGGATGAATCTAATAATGGAATGTATTTTTCTTGAACAATCGTTTTCACACTTTTATCTTGAGATAACTACTTTATACACGCCGTGGTAACACTCACCTACAGCATCAGCCAGTAACAGGAGGCTGAAACCCAGGAGCCACATGCTCACAGCAGTTGGGCAGAAAATGTCCGTCCAAACAACTGAAACAGATAACAAAGGGCTCAGTTGCACCTGCAACCTGCCGTGGTGTGCTGCTTAACACTGTTGTCTCTTATCCACCAATGCGAGACATGGCGAACAATACAATTGCAGTCTGCATGCAAGGGACATATTGATTACCTGTCGCAGGCAGCAATAGCTTTACGTGGGGCAACGTGCATAGTCGGTATTTCATATCACTGCTTCACTAGTTAAAAGACCAATGTTTTGGAACAGCCATCGTATGGCTAATCTGGCTGGAATCTATCTTATTTCCTTACACAGGGCTTTGTGTGCATACATCTGTAATGAGAGGTATATTTTACCTCGAGACAGGAAAAGAATTGCATAACAGATGACCCGTGGAGCTATATTTAAATGGTCAGACATGTTGAGGGAGAATAACATTGTCTGGATGTGCAACTCAATCCCAACTCTAATTTTCAACACATATTGATTCCATGCCAACAACAACACAATATTGATAACCTGTCACCCAGTGCCTAAATGTTCATAAGACAGCAATAGATTCATGTGGAACACAATAACCAGTCGTTATGTCTTCAATGACTGATGCGTTCTTGATTTTATATCGAATTGTTTACATTGGGCTCTGCGCGTACATATTTGTGATGCCTGTGAAATGTATATCTCGCGGGGAGACATATGTGTAGTATTGAATTACAGATTACTCACCCATAAAAATCTAAAGGGTCAGACATGTTGTTGGATATAAACATTACCTGGATGTGCATAAAGAGAAGACGATCAATCAAATACAACTGAAAGGTGCATCAATCATTGATTCCATGTAGGAGATATGTGAGAAGATATGTGGGATCTCTATTGGATGTTTGAAATACAAACCCCCACTGAGGTTAAGGCAAACCTTTTCTTCACTAAAATAGTTTACCTACAGTGCTTTATTGTTTCCATATTTTTAATGTCTATACAAGCTGGTATTAATCACACTGATCCCGTGACAATCCCTTTTGAAAACCATCGTAGTTAAAAAACACATAGAAAACATCATTAGTGGTCACATATATCCTATATCAGAGAAGTGCGCAAAGAATATACATTGCATGTTTTGTTCCTTCATGAGGTGTTTTGTTCGTCCCTACATTTGTATACCACAGCGAGTTATATGTATACGTGTAGCAAGGAGGGCCTGATGAGAATGATTCCAGTATATGGACAATTTTCTTGACCTGTCTAAATTCTAAACCTGTCAGTTCAGAAGTCCTTGGGTTTTAGCCCTTTTGACCTTGTCTTTGCCAATACTGTTCATGGAACTTTAAAGCACTTAAAGGACCATTGGCTTAATGATAGGTCTGAAGTGAGTTTGTTTGCCGATGTCTCATCATTTCGGACTGGGCATTCTAAAGGTTGTGAAGTTGCTAGCGATAACTTGAAGGATTCCCAGGGAAAAATGATGGTACATTGTGCCAAAAAAATCTCAAGAGAGAAATTTTAGTCCTACCAATCCCTGGTCAACCATTACATGCTAGGTACCACAATCCTCATGTTATTGACAGAACAAGTCAAGGATACAAAGTTTGTTGTACAATCACCAGGCCATCGTAAAACGACATCTTTGTCATGTCAACATGATTAGAAAGTATCACGAGAGAAATGACAATGTACCTACTCAGTTTCTCCTGTAGATATTGTATCAGATTGTGATACTGATAAGTCCTAAGCTAAACAAATCTGAAGTTTAAGCTTTAACTCACTTGGATGCTAAGTTAGGTCATTTGTTATCTGAGCAAAAAGGCTCAAATGACAGAGTTAATTCAAGAGTTTGACAACGTGTTAACGGATGTACCTGTCCCTACAGACTTAGTGTGTCATGATGATATAAGGGTAACGCTATTTATCAGGGCATAACATTTGCAGAAGCTCGAGGTCTTCCATTAACTGCCCGACGGAGGACCGAGGGCTTCTGCAAATGATAATGCCCTGAAAAATAGCGTTACCGTTATTAAACCTAAAATGGATGGAATTTGTTATCAAATAAAAAGAAACAACCATATCAGTTTTGAAATAGCTACTGCAATCAACACGAATATAATGTCACTGATCCACTTTTACAAAAATGGAAGACTCATAGAACAAACCGGATGACGTCACTATTGAACGTGGCGTCACCTATTCCTATCCTATGACGACACCTAACAACGGGCGTGATAATGGCCGGTCGTCAAGCAATATGAGGGCATTATCAAGTTACAGTGGCCCGCTCATATTTGATAACATGCGGGCGGTTTAATGATAATTCTATCCATTTTAGCTATAGTGTAGATGTTGGTGATGCTGACCCTGTGAAACAAATCCCTACCGCATGGATCCAATCAAGCTTGAAGCTCTGAAGAAGGTAATTTAATGGACAATGACATTATTGAACCATGTCAAAATGTCTGGAGTTCACATATCATTCTTGTGCCGAATCCTGATGGTAGTTACAGATGTTGTACTGACATGTAACGTGTGAACGCTGTTTCTAAAACTGAATCTTACCCAAGACCAAGAATCGGTGACTCCATTGACAGAATTGGTCAAGCCAAATAGGTAAATAAGTTTGACCTGTTGAAGGGGAATTGGCAAGCTGGTATCAACTTTGGTTCCTCTAGATGGACTTTTTCACTACAAAGTAATGTCTCATCAATGACATTTCAGCCAATCCTGTGGGTTTCGAAGCCTGCGTTGATGATATATCATCAACAATTCAATGGAGTATGACGAACACCTGAAGAGGATCCGTGCATTTTTCGAGGGACTCACTGAAGCCACGGAGACCATTGATTAGTGAAAAGTGTATTTGCACAGGCACATGCAAATTTTGAAGGTCATCGAACAGGCACAGCCTGTATAAGCAAAGGTGGAAAAGGAACTTATGAAGTTATTATTATCACTGATTTTGGCTATCACCACTGTTTTTGTATTTGATGCTGACCACTGCTATTATAACACATATTATATTGTGCCATTGGAAATTGTACTTTGACTTGTAAACCTAGTTAATTTTGTAATATAATTGGATACCATTTGTTGTTCGTTTGTTGGTTTCACAGGTAGTACTAGATGTGAATGACTGAGTCTGATTATGGAAACATCATCATACATTGACTGGAAACAATGGGTATCTTTCTCCATAGCACCTGATTACAACGAGACGTAACTCTGACATATCATTTACATTACGAATCATTGGTACACTAACACACGCACCACCTCATAACAATCTTTGTTGTGATGATTTCACTGCTGGCGAATAGAATGCACTATGTTCAGGTAGACACGTGTGTAAATGTGATCTGGCAGTTGAAAAGCACTGCTGTCACGCACAGTTTTATAGTTGACAGACTTTAATCAGACATGTCGACTGGACGTTATCTCGTTCTTTTACTGCTTCTCAGCTGTAACATCATACCCTGTGACAGTAAGTAATTAAAATATCTACAGTTGTATTTGTTTCACGGATATACACGTAATTATCTGTCCCTCAGTTTGTTTTAAACCTCAGAGCTTATTTCGGGGTCAGGAATATATCATTCTAGCAGGTAGGGAAAAGAAAGTAGATTCAAACTATTGTTTCATGGTCTTGGTGATATACTTTATTTCCTCGATCACAAGCTGTATCTCGAACAGAATAACTGGAAATACTGTATTGTATTTTGACTATTATACACATTGTAACACATTGTCCCTACTAAACAGAATCATTTCATGCAACGTTTAGAGAACTTTGAGAGAACTTTTATATGTTCTATAATTGGCTGTAGTGAGTTATCCAGTGAGTGGTTATCATTTTACACCGCGTCTAGTAATAGTCCAACAATATCGCGGAGGGAGACAGAAAAGGGCTCAACACATTGTACCCTAGTGGGGAATAGAACCCAGGTGTACGGCGTGACGCACGAACTCTTCTCTTAAGTCTGGCATGAGATTCAAAACAATAATAGATAAAGCACGAGGTCCTCATACACCTTGTTGAGTACTAACAGCAATATACATTGTTATGGTAGCATTTAGAGCCAAGTTATCTAAATAAACAAAATAGAAATATCAATCCGGCCATCTGATATTCTAGAGGGTGTGAATGGTGACAATTATGTTTGCAGGAGAGCCTTATAAAAATAGATTTGGCATTAGGTCTTGAGCGTCATCCACCATTCTTTGTTAGGGCAATTTTAACAGAATCCCATATCACACAAACTGAAAGTCAGAACAATTTAAACTAATTTGGATAGTGTTTGCTTCTACTCAAATTAGACATTACAGTAAACTACGGTTATAACGAACTCAATGGGACTACTAATTTTATTTCGTGATAACCGTAGTTCGTTATAAGCATAGATACAGCATAACTGCAGCAAATAGTCGGGACCAAAAAAGTAAGTTCGTTATATCCGTCAGTTCGTTATAAGCGTGTTCGTTATAACCGTAGTTTACTGTATGTATGGGAAATAATGTATGCACATGGGAAGGCAATATCCTGGACACAACGTGCCTCCATATTTCTGTGACGATGTAAAGAGTATGAAATTAAAAGATCATAAAGCAGTGGAAGGTTTCAGTTCATGTGGTTGATTGCTGTACAGTGGTGTTTTGCTGGACATGTTGCTAACGTCAAACTATAACTTTTTTTGATGTAGGTAAGCCTTTCTATCTAATAAGTCACATGGATTAAAGATTTTCAATCTGTCCTTATCTATTTTAACAAAATGCCACTGTACCATTTGGTTGATATTTATGCAAAGTTTCATGAAGGAATGAATGTGCACGTTTCAAATACAAACTGAGTTTACAACACACAGCTAACCTCTCAGTTAGAGTTTTTCCATGATAAAATGTCATTAATAAAGTCTCCCCATGCGACCGTGTAGGGGAAACATACCTATGACCATATTTCTGTTTCCGTCGGAGCAGAAAATTACAGTACCTTCTAAATGTACTTATCTAATCTCTTCCTAATTACAAATAGTAAGAAATGCTCACTTGTTCATATTTTACATTTGCATTCTCGTTACATTAATTTAACATTGATCAAGATCAAAAGAAATATATTTTCAAGAAAGGTATCATATATCGTATTTAATGCAAATACTGTTCAAGCTCTTACTGTTCAGTATTAACTTATTGTGATTTCTGTTGTATGAACAGAAATGAAATGTTGTTTGATTCCATAACATTATCAGTGTACGTATGCTGCTTCTTTATCCTGCAAAAAGCTAAAATGTACAACACTTTGCAGGGATTCTGTAATGTCCTTATGTTATTGCTGTCATTTCCCGTTTCTACTTTCTTTTTCAGCTTTTAGTGGTAAGAAATATTTTACTTATCATGCTTGATCGTTATCTACAGTTGCATTCCAATCAAATTCCATTAACATTTGTGAGTAAAATGAAGATAAAAATAAATTATCTTCAAGAAAGAAATCTTTTATTACATTTAATTCAATGCAGGTTTGTGTGCTACCTAGTAATATCCCAGTGCATTGATCTACGCAAATGGGATACGATGACATCCATTGACTAAGTCAACAAACCTGACCACCCGACCCCGATAGTCACCTCTTGCGTCACCTCGAACTTTCTCCCAATGTATGGTAAAACGCTAAGTTCAGGATTAAAGGGCCTAAATGATGAGAAACGATGCTCCTGTTTTTATTCGTGCTCGGGAATTCCCAGGGGTTTCCCCACGAATGTGCGAGTAAAGTGTCAGTGTGTAAGTCATTTCAAGAATACAGTCTCGTGAAAAACGTATATACGACAGAGTGTGTCGTTCGTACATGTATAAACTTCAGTTTCGCGGTCATGTGATCGACCTCTCGTCCAATGGAAAAGCCGTATTTCGTGTAAACTTTACATTTAAAACTTATAATTTAAGACAACCTTTATCACATTTAATGCCAATACAATTCAATTCAAGTTCGTGTATTGCCTCAGTGATATTATCAACGACCCCTTCTTGTAATCATGGCGTTACCTTTCTGTGATGTCATAATGACGCGGATCTACTCTACGAATATAAATGAAATTCAGGAAACGATAGAAAGCTTGCGGTTTGAACATTATTTCTGTATCAGTTATCGGTATCACATATGATCCATGGTCTTTAGCCCATTTCCAGACTTAGTCAAGGCCTTATAGTGACATATGTCAAACTGAAAGTCATTGTAAACTGTGTAACCATTAACGGCTTGATTGACACACTTGAAAGAGGCGAATTTGCAGGCACACAACGTATGCTTTACATAACTTGCTTCAATTGTTTATTGTTTCTTTTGATGGACTGAACTGGATGCATGGGTGGTCGGATTTTCTCTTGCTTGTCCTAAAAGTGACGTATGTCCAATATTTTGCAATTACTAACTCATTCAAGATAATAACGATATTATGCGGAAACGGTTAAAGCTTCTAATTGTTATCCTTTTGTCTCTCACATTTCACATGTTTGTTTAATGAATTTGGGTCAGGAGCATGAGTTAGGGCTCCTGTTGTGCAAATTGATCATGCGTATTATTTTTTTAAACCACTATTCGTACAGTTCACTCTGAGTGAGTGAGTGAGTTGTGTTTAATGTTTTTGACATTATTCCAGTCATATCACGGCGTGTCAGCTAAATGTGGGAGGAAAGCCCGAAGTGATGTCAACCACTTCGGTGAAACCCACGAGCACGGGTTTGGTGCTGACAAACCTAGAAACATAATCGGGACGAACCGGGATGCGAACCCACAATCATAGGTTTTTGGCGTGCCTAAGGGACGCAACTCTTCAAAGTGAATTGCGGCGCCTAAGACGACTGGGCCACCCGTGCCCTCATTACACTCTGATAATTTGCATGACAACCATAGTGCATCGAACGCAACTGACCTGGAAAGATGTTTCATAAGACTCGAACAACTATCAGCTTGAATTACCATTAGTTGGAACATTTTCAAATCAATAAGTTGTGCGTTGCTGCTGTAATGCATGTCACAGTAGCTGTAACACCAAAATGACCACTCTTACGAGAATGAATGGAGTAATCAAAATGAATTATACTCCAAATAATATACTAGTGTCATGAGATAATGTAACAAATGCACACTTAAGAAATTGAATCCTTACTTTGGGATTAAAAATCCGACTAATATTTTGTTATCGGCAGTAGCGTTGACCACAGGAACAGGATCAAAAACTGGCACAAGCACAGGCTCGAACACTGGCACAAGCACGGGCTCCAGCACTGGCACAAGCACAGGCTCGAACACTGGCACAAGCACAGGCTCGAACACTGGCACAAGCACAGGCTGGAACACTGGCACAAGCACGGGCTCCAGCACTGGCACAAGCACAGGCTCGAACACTGGCACAAGCACAGGCTGGAACACTGGCACAAGCACAGGCTCGAACACTGGCACAAGCACAGGCTCCAGCACTGGCACAAGCACAGGCTCGAACACTGGCACAAGCACAGGCTGGAACACTGGCACAAGCACAGGCTCGAACACTGGCACAAGCACAGGATCAAACACTGGCACAAGCACAGGCTCGGACACTGGCACAAGCACAGGCTCGAACACTGGCACAAGCACAGGCTGGAACACTGGCACAAGCACGGGCTCCAGCACTGGCACAAGCACAGGCTCGAACACTGGCACAAGCACAGGCTGGAACACTGGCACAAGCACAGGCTCGAACACTGGCACAAGCACAGGCTCCAGCACTGGCACAAGCACAGGCTCGAACACTGGCACAAGCACAGGCTGGAACACTGGCACAAGCACAGGCTCGAACACTGGCACAAGCACAGGATCAAACACTGGCACAAGCACAGGCTCGGACACTGGCACAAGCACAGGCTTGAACACTGGCACAAGCACAGGCTGGAACACTGGCACAAGCACAGGATCAAACACTGGCACAAGCACAGGATCAAACACTGGCACAAGCACAGGCTTGAACACTGGCACAAGCACAGGCTCGACCACTGGCTCAAGCACAGGCTGGAACACTGGCACAAGCACACGCTCGAACACTGGCACAAGCACAGGCTCGAACACTGGCACAAGCACAGGCTTGAACACTGGCACAAGCACAGGATCAAACACTGGCACAAGCACAGGCTCGAACACTGGCACAAGCACAGGCTGGACCACTGGCTCAAGCACAGGCTCGAACACTGGCACAAGCACAGGCTCGAACACTGGCACAGGAACTGGCTGGAGCACTGGCACAGGCATTGAAACATCGATGAGCCCAACTTTGACCACAACTTCAGGTACATATGCATTATTATTCATTGTAAGGCCCACGTTTACGAATAATGGATTGTGTGACTGTTTTCCGTTATTGCTAGAGCTGTGCACATGGGATGAACAGTTACTTATTATAAACACTGAGATACTAGCACTTGTCTGGCCAGGATTTTCATAAAGTGAACACAATCTGCTGGAGCAGCAATGTTTTATCGATTTACACATCTCATATTGTCTGTGCATCGCCTTTTGATAGTGCTGCACTTATGACAAAGGAGTACAGCCTAATAATTGTAGTATAATTGAAACAAACACTCAAGTATGCACATCTGTTTTTATGCCTAATACTTCTGGATACAGAACTGCCTTCGCTCATAGTGAATGTGCGAAACATACGTAGGTGCTTGTGAAACTCTATTTATTGTAATTCTTCAATGTGCGTAGCTGCAAAGCAATGCTTCATACAAACCTCTTGAAAACTTGTATCTCAATATAATACGATAAAACTCTGTTAATTATCATAGTAAATACGACTAAACATTTCCATAATCATAAGAAATATCTACTGAATGAAGAGTCCTTTGTACAACTCTGATTATATCATAAGAATATGCCTATGAATCACTAATCAAATAGTGATTATACCATGTGTTCGCGAGAATGTGAGGGTATCCTGCACCACAAATGGCACCCGTCAGAAACACATGAATAGATAAGTCAATCGTTCACCTGGAAAACACAGTAACATATGGTACAAGTCAGAATAGGGAATAGCATCAGACATAACTTTAGTCACCCATGCGTCAACGTTGGACATGTCCTCCAGATGTCTATCATAAAACTTCATGTCGCATGGGGGCGGTCGGGTAGCCTAGTGGTTAAATCGTTCGCTCGTCACGCCGTGATATTGTCGGAGTATTGCTCAAAGCGGCGTAAAGCCATACTCACTCACTCACTCATGTCGCATGACGCTATTTGAAATATTCGTAGAAAGATCATGCTCGAATATACCTCAAAATCTCTCAAATGGAGATACTCAATGCTGTAGCTGCTCTAATATTGCTCGACATTGGAAAGTTGACTATTTGAATGTTGAAGTCATCCCTTTTCTCATTCAGATTTGTAGAGAGTTGTTTTGTCTATCTGAATCTTTATGCATTGATCGGAACATGAAACAGATGAGGCGGACTCTTTTATGTCTGGTTCAGATGGGTTAATCAGTGGAGGGGACTTGGCTATTTGACCGTTATTGAGTCAATCAGAGCATATACTTAATATACAAAAGAAAAGTTATTTGTTTGTGAAATGCACAAAATAATAAATTGTGAAAAGAAATGTAAACATAGGTTACGGGAATCATTACAAAAACATTGCTCACTGTTTACATCATTCAGTTTGAGCACAATGCAGACGTATCGATTCGTTTAACGTTTCTCATGCAAAAATGCGTGCATTTCCCCCTCGTCCATCATATATAAGACAGTCATATGCATGCGCTAATCACATGCAAAAATGCGTGCATTTCCCCCTTGTCCATCATATATAAGACAGTCATATGCATGCGCCAAACACATGGAAAAAAAGCGTGCATTTCCCCCTTGTCCATCATATATAAGCCAGTCATATGCATGCGCCAAACACATGCAAAACTGCGTGCATTTCCCCCTTGTCTATCATATATAAGCCAGTCATATGCATGCGCCAATCACATGCAAAAATGCGTGCTTTTCCCCCTTGTCCATCATATATAAGCCAGTCACATGCATGCACCAATCATGTGCAATAATGCGTGCATTTCCCCCTTGTCCATTAACATTTGTGAGTAAAATGAAGATAAAAAGAATGTATCTTCAAGAAAGAAATCCTTTATTACATTTAATTCAATGCAGGTTCATGTGCTACCTAGAAATAATCTAGTAGTATGACGGCGGTCTGTAAATAATCGAGTCTGGACTAGACAATCCAGTGCATTTATCTACGCAAGTGGGATACGACGACATGCATTGACTAAGTCAACGAACCTGACCACCCGACCCCGATAGTCACCTCTTGCGCCAAGCATAGCACCTCTTACGATAAGTTCCCGAAGACCAAACTTTACGAGGATCTTCATGGGATCTTACCTAGGTGATAATCTAAATGCAGCCGCATTGTAATTACCTAATTTTGATGTCACAATGCGTATGAATAGAAATGGAATTCGGGAAAATATTATAGGCTTGTTTCAATTTGAATGTACTTGAATAACATCAATATCAGTGTACAAATGCTGCCTCTCCGTGCAAAAAAGATCAATTGTATAACATTATACAGTGATTATGTGGGAGATGAGGACCCCTTATATTATATATATCATATAACATTGTTGTTTTTCTATTTTAGATCGTTTGGGTAAACATCTTACTTTTTCATCCTTGTTCATATTTTACATTTGCATTTCTAACAACTTCCATTAACACTATTGAGCGTGAGCTGAATATTAAAATAATCTATCTTCAGGGAAGAAAGTTTTTATCAAATTTAATGCCAATACAATCCAATGCAAGTTCGTGTCTTCCTTCGGTGATATTATAAACGACCCCTTCTTGTAATCATGGCGTTACCTTTCTGTGATGTCATAATGACGCGGATCTTCTCTACGAATATAAATGAAATTCAGGAAACGATAGAAAGCTTGTGGTTTGAACATTATTTCTGTATCAGTTATCGGTATCACATATGATCCATGGTCTTTAGCCCATTTCCAGACTTAGTCAAGGCCTTATAGTGACATATGTCAAACTGAAAGTCATTGTAAACTGTGTAACCATTAACGGCTTGATTGACACACTTGAAAGAGGCGAATTTTCAGGCACACAACGTATGCTTTGAATAACTTGCTTCAATTGTTTATTGTTTCTTTTGATGGACTGAACTGGATGCATGGGTGGTCGGATTTTCTCTTGCTTGTCCTAAAAGTGACGTATGTCCAATATTTTGCAATTACTAACTCATTCAAGATAATAACGATATTATGCGGAAACGGTTAAAGCTTCTAATTGTTATCCTTTTGTCTCTCACATTTCACGTGTTTGTTTAATGAATTTGGGTCAGGAGCATGAGTTAGGGCTCCTGTTGTGCAAATTCATCAGGCATAATATTGTTTTAAACCACTATTCGTACATTTCACTCTGAGTGAGTGAGTGAGTGAGTTGTGTTTAACGCCGTTTTTGACATTATTCCAGTTATATCACGGCGTGTCAGCTAAATGTGGGAGGAAAGCCCGAAGTGATGCAGGTCTCTGATGTTAACCACTTCGGTGAAACCCACGAGCACGGGTTTGGTGCTGACAAACCTAGAAACATAATCGGGACGAACCGGGATGCGAACCCACAATCATAGGTTTTTGGCGTGCCTAAGGGACGCAACTCTTCAAAGTGAATTGCGGCGCCTAAGACGACTGGGCCACCCGTGCCCTCATTACACTCTGATAATTTGCATGACAACCATAGTGCATCGAACGCAACTGACCTAGAAAGATGTTTCATAAGACTCGAACAACTATCAGCTTGAATTACCATTAGTTGGAACATTTTCAAATCAATAAGTTGTGCGTTGCTGCTGTAATGCATGTCACAGTAGCTGTAACACCAAAATGACCACTCTTACGAGAATGAATGGAGTAATCAAAATGAATTATACTCCAAATAATATACTAGTGTCATGAGATAATGTAACAAATGCACACTTGAGAAATTGAATCCTTACTTTGGGATTAAAAATCCGACTAATATTTTGTTATCGGCAGTAGCGTTGACCACAGGAACAGGATCAAAAACTGGCACAAGCACAGGCTCGAACACTGGCACAAGCACGGGCTCCAGCACTGGCACAAGCACAGGCTCGAACACTGGCACAAGCACAGGCTCGAACACTGGCACAAGCACAGGCTGGAACACTGGCACAAGCACGGGCTCCAGCACTGGCACAAGCACAGGCTCGAACACTGGCACAAGCACAGGCTGGAACACTGGCACAAGCACAGGCTCGAACACTGGCACAAGCACGGGCTCCAGCACTGGCACAAGCACAGGCTCGAACACTGGCACAAGCACAGGCTCGAACACTGGCACAAGCACAGGATCAAACACTGGCACAAGCACAGGCTCGGACACTGGCACAAGCACAGGCTTGAACACTGGCACAAGCACAGGCTGGAACACTGGCACAAGCACAGGATCAAACACTGGCACAAGCACAGGCTCGGACACTGGCACAAGCACAGGCTCGAACACTGGCACAAGCACAGGCTCGACCACTGGCTCAAGCACAGGCTGGAACACTGGCACAAGCACACGCTCGAACACTGGCACAAGCACAGGCTGGAACACTGGCACAAGCACAGGCTTGAACACTGGCACAAGCACGGGATCAAACACTGGCACAAGCACAGGCTCGAACACTGGCACAAGCACAGGCTGGACCACTGGCTCAAGCACAGGCTCGAACACTGGCACAAGCACAGGCTCGAACACTGGCACAGGAACTGGCTGGAGCACTGGCACAGGCATTGAAACATCGATGAGCCCAACTTTGACCACAACTTCAGGTACATATGCATTATTATTCATTGTAAGGCCCACGTTTACGAATAATGGATTGTGTGACTGTTTTCCGTTATTGCTAGAGCTGTGCACATGGGATGAACAGTTACTTATTATAAACACTGAGATACTAGCACTTGTCTGGCCAGGATTTTCATAAAGTGAACACAATCTGCTGGAGCAGCAATGTTTTATCGATTTACACATCTCATATTGTCTGTGCATCGCCTTTTGATAGTGCTGCACTTATGACAAAGGAGTACAGCCTAATAATTGTAGTATAATTGAAACAAACACTCAAGTATGCACATCTGTTTTTATGCCTAATACGTCTGGATACAGAACTGCCTTCGCTCATTGTGAATGTGCGAAACATACGTAGGTGCTTGTGAAACTCTATTTATTGTAATTCTTCAATGTGCGTAGCTGCAAAGCAATGCTTCATACAAACCTCTTGAAAACTTGTATCTCAATATAATACGATAAAACTCTGTTAATTATCATAGTAAATACGACTAAACATTTCCATAATCATAAGAAATATCTACTGAATGAAGAGTCCTTTGTACAACTCTGATTATATCATAAGAATATGCCTATGAATCACTAATCAAATAGTGATTATACCATGTGTTCGCGAGAATGTGAGGGTATCCTGCACCACAAATGGCACCCGTCAGAAACACATGAATAGATAAGTCAATCGTTCACCTGGAAAACACAGTAACATATGGTACAAGTCAGAATAGGGAATAGCATCAGACATAACTTTAGTCACCCATGCGTCAACGTTGGACATGTCCTCCAGATGTCTATCATAAAACTTCATGTCGCATGGGGGCGGTCGGGTAGCCTAGTGGTTAAATCGTTCGCTCGTCACGCCGTGATATTGTCGGAGTATTGCTCAAAGCGGCGTAAAGCCATACTCACTCACTCACTCATGTCGCATGACGCTATTTGAAATATTCGTAGAAAGATCATGCTCGAATATACCTCAAAATCTCTCAAATGGAGATACTCAATGCTGTAGCTGCTCTAATATTGCTCGACATTGGAAAGTTGACTATTTGAATGTTGAAGTCATCCCTTTTCTCATTCAGATTTGTAGAGAGTTGTTTTGTCTATCTGAATCTTTATGCATTGATCGGAACATGAAACAGATGAGGCGGACTCTTTTATGTCTGGTTCAGGTGGGTTAATCAGTGGAGGGGACTTGGCTATTTGACCAATGCAGACGTATCGATTCGTTTAACGTTTCTCATGCAAAAATGCGTGCATTTCCCCCTCGTCCATCATATATAAGACAGTCATATGCATGCGCTAATCACATGCAAAAATGCGTGCATTTCCCCCTTGTCCATCATATATAAGACAGTCATATGCATGCGCCAAACACATGGAAAAAAAGCGTGCATTTCCCCCTTGTCCATCATATATAAGCCAGTCATATGCATGCGCCAAACACATGCAAAACTGCGTGCATTTCCCCCTTGTCTATCATATATAAGCCAGTCATATGCATGCGCCAATCACATGCAAAAATGCGTGCTTTTCCCCCTTGTCCATCATATATAAGCCAGTCACATGCATGCACCAATCATGTGCAATAATGCGTGCATTTCCCCCTTGTCCATTAACATTTGTGAGTAAAATGAAGATAAAAAGAATGTATCTTCAAGAAAGAAATCCTTTATTACATTTAATTCAATGCATGTTCATGTGCTACCTAGAAATAATCTAGTAGTATGACGGCGGTCTGTAAATAATCGAGTCTGGACTAGACAATCCAGTGCATTTATCTACGCAAGTGGGATACGACGACATGCATTGACTAAGTCAACGAACCTGACCACCCGACCCCGATAGTCACCTCTTGTGCCAAGCATAGCACCTCTTACGATAAGTTCCCGAAGACCAAACTTTACGAGGATCTTCATGGGATCTTACCTAGGTGATAATCTAAATGCAGCCGCATTGTAATTACCTAATTTTGATATCACAATGCGTATGAATAGAAATGGAATTCGGGAAAATATTATAGGCTTGTTTCAATTTGAATGTACTTGAATAACATCAATATCAGTGTACAAATGCTGCCTCTCCGTGCAAAAAAGATCAATTGTATAACATTATACAGTGATTATGTGGGAGATGAGGACCCCTTATATTATATATATCATATAACATTGTTGTTTTTCTATTTTAGATCGTTTGGGTAAACATCTTACTTTTTCATCCTTGTTCATATTTTAAATTTGCATTTCTAACAACTTCCATTAACACTATTGAGCGTGAGCTGAATATTAAAATAATCTATCTTCAGGGAAGAAAGTTTTTATCAAATTTAATGCCAATACAATCCAATGCAAGTTCGTGTCTTCCTTCGGTGATATTATAAACGACCCCTTCTTGTAATCATGGCGTTACCTTTCTGTGATGTCATAATGACGCGGATCTTCTCTACGAATATAAATGAAATTCAGGAAACGATAGAAAGCTTGCGGTTTGAACATTATTTCTGTATCAGTTATCGGTATCACATATGATCCATGGTCTTTAGCCCATTTCCAGACTTAGTCAAGGCCTTATAGTGACATATGTCAAACTGAAAGTCATTGTAAACTGTGTAACCATTAACGGCTTGATTGACACACTTGAAAGAGGCGAATTTGCAGGCACACAACGTATGCTTTGAATAACTTGCTTCAATTGTTTATTGTTTCTTTTGATGGACTGAACTGGATGCATGGGTGGTCGGATTTTCTCTTGCTTGTCCTAAAAGTGACGTATGTCCAATATTTTGCAATTACTAACTCATTCAAGATAATAACGATATTATGCGGAAACGGTTAAAGCTTCTAATTGTTATCCTTTTGTCTCTCAAATTTCACGTGTTTGTTTAATGAATTTGGGTCAGGAGCATGAGTTAGGGCTCCTGTTGTGCAAATTCATCAGGCATAATATTGTTTTAAACCACTATTCGTACATTTCACTCTGAGTGAGTGAGTGAGTTGTGTTTAACGCCGTTTTTGACATTATTCCAGTTATATCACGGCGTGTCAGCTAAATGTGGGAGGAAAGCCCGAAGTGATGCAGGTCTCTGATGTTAACCACTTCGGTGAAACCCACGAGCACGGGTTTGGTGCTGACAAACCTAGAAACATAATCGGGACGAACCGGGATGCGAACCCACAATCATAGGTTTCTGGCGTGCCTAAGGGACGCAACTCTTCAAAGTGAATTGCGGCGCCTAAGACGACTGGGCCACCCGTGCCCTCATTACACTCTGATAATTTGCATGACAACCATAGTGCATCGAACGCAACTGACCTGGAAAGATGTTTCATAAGACTCGAACAACTATCAGCTTGAATTACCATTAGTTGGAACATTTTCAAATCAATAAGTTGTGCGTTGCTGCTGTAATGCATGTCACAGTAGCTGTAACACCAAAATGACCACTCTTACGAGAATGAATGGAGTAATCAAAATGAATTATACTCCAAATAATATACTAGTGTCATGAGATAATGTAACAAATGCACACTTAAGAAATTGAATCCTTACTTTGGGATTAAAAATCCGACTAATATTTTGTTATCAGCAGTAGCGTTGACCACAGGAACAGGATCAAAAACTGGCACAAGCACAGGCTCGAACACTGGCACAAGCACGGGCTCCAGCACTGGCACAAGCACAGGCTCGAACACTGGCACAAGCACAGGCTCAAACACTGGCACAAGCACAGGCTTGAACACTGGCACAAGCACAGGATCAAACACTGGCACAAGCACAGGCTCGACCACTGGCACAAGCACAGGCTCGACCACTGGCTCAACCACAGGCTGGAACACTGGCACAGGCACAGGCTCGACCACTGGCTCAAGCATAGGCTCGACCACTGGCTCAAGCACAGGCTCGAACACTGGCACAAGCACAGGCTCGACCACTGGCTCAACCACAGGCTGGAACACTGACACAAGCACAGGCTTGAACACTAGCACAAGCACAGGCTCGACCACTGGCTCAAGCACAGGCTTGAACACTGGCACAAGCACAGGCTCGAACACTGGCACAAGCACAGGCTCGAACACTGGCTCAAGCACAGGCTCGAACACTGGCACAAGCATAGGCTCGACCACTGGCTCAAGCACAGGCTCGAACACTGGCACAAGCACAGTCTCGAACACTGGCAAAAGCACGGGCTGGAGCACTGGTACAAGCACAGGCTCGAACACTGGCACAAGCAGAGGATCAAACAATGGCACAAGCACAGGCTGGAACACTGGCACAAGCACAGGCTTGAACACTGGCACAAGCACGGGATCAAACACTAGCACAAGCACAGGCTTGAACACTGGCACAAGTACAAGCTCAACCACTGGCTCAAGCACAGGCTGGAACACTGGCACAAGCACAGGCTGGAACACTGGCACAAGCACAGGCTCGACCACTGCCTCAAGCACAGGCTGGAACACTGACACAAGCACAGGCTCGAACACTGGCACAAGCACAGGCTCAACCACTGGCTCAGGCACAGGCTGGAACACTGGCACAAGCACAGGCTCCATCACTGGCACAAGCACAGGCTCGAACACTGGCACAAGCACAGGCTCAACCACTGGCTCCAGCAAAGGCTCGAACACTAGCACAAGCACAGGCTGGAACACTGGCACAAGCACAGGCTCGAACACTGGCACAAGCACAGGCTCGTCCACTGGCTCAAGCACAGGATCAAACACTGGCTCAAGCACAGGATCAAACACTGGCACAAGCACAGGCTCGGACACTAGCACAAGCACAGGCTCGACCACTGGCTCCAGCACAGGCTGGAACACTGGCACAAGCACAGGCTCAAAGACTGGCACAAGCACAGGCTCGAACACTGGCTCAAGCACAGGCTCGAACACTGGCACAAGCACAGGCTCGACCACTGGCTCAAGCATAGGCTGGAACACTGGCACAAGCACAGGCTCGAACACTGGCACAAGCACGGGCTCCAGCACTGGTACAAGCACAGACTCGAACACTGGCACAAGCAGAGGATCAAACAATGGCACAAGCACAGGCTCGAACACTGGCACAAGCACGGGATCAAACACTGGCACAAGCACAGGCTTGAACACTGGCACAAGCACAAGCTCAACCACTGGCTCAAGCACAGGCTGGGACACTGGCACAAGCACAGGCTCGAACACTGGCACAAGCACAGGCTCGATCACTGGCACAAGCACAGGCTCGAACACTAGCACAAGCACAGACTCAACCACTGGCACAAGCACAGGCTCGACCACTGGCACAAGCACAGGATCAAACACTGGCACAAGCAGAGGCTTGAACACTGGCATAAGCACAGGCTTGAACACTGGCACAAGCACAGGTTCGAACACTGGAACAAGAACAGGCTCGACCACTGGCTCAAGCACAGGATCAAACACTGGCACAAGCACAGGCTCGAACACTAGCACAAGCACAGGCTCGACCACTGGCTCAAGCCCAGGGTGGAACACTGGCACAAGCACAGGCTCGAACACTGGCACAAGCACAGGCTCGACCACTGGCACAAGCACAGGCTCGATCACTGGCACAAGCACAGGCTCGAACAGTGGCACAAGCACAGGATCAAACACTGGCACAAGCAGAGGCTCGACCACTGGCTCAAGCACAGGCTTGAACACTGGCACAAGCACAGGCTCGAACACTAGGACAAGCACAGGCTCGACCACTGGCTCCAGCACAGGCTCGAACACTGGTACAAGCACAGGCTCAAAGACTGGCACAAGCACAGGCTCGAACACTGGCACAAGCACAGGCAAGAGCACTGGCTCAAGCACAGGTTCGAACACTGGAACAAGAACAGGCTCGACCACTGGCTCAAGCACAGGATCAAACACTGGCACAAGCAGAGGCTCGACCACTGGCTCAAGCACAGGCTGGAACACTGGCACAAGCACAGGCTCGAACACTAGGACAAGCACAGGCTCGACCACTGGCTCCAGCACAGGCTGGAACACTGGCACAAGCACAGGCTGGAACACTGGCACAAGCACAGGCTCGAACACTGGCACAAGCACAGGCTCGACCACTGGCTCAAGCACAGGCTGGAACACTGGCACAAGCACAGGCTCGAACACTGGCACAAGCACGGGCTGGAGCACTGGTACAAGCGCAGGCCCGAACACTGGCACAAGCAGAGGATCAAACAATGGCACAAGCACAGGCTCGAACACTGGCACAAGCACAGGCTTGAACACTGGCACAAGCACGGGATCAAACACTGGCACAAGCACAGGCTTGAACACTGGCAGAAGCACAATCTCAACCCCTGGCTCAAGCACAGGCTGGAACACTGGCACAAGCAGAGGCTGGAACACTGGCACAAGGGGAGGCTCGATCACTGGCACAAGCACAGGCTCGAACACTAGCACAAGCACAGGCTGGAACACTGGCACAAGCACAGGCTCGAACACTGGAACAAGACCAGGCTCGATCACTGGCTCAAGCACAGGATCAAACACTGGCACAAGCACAGGCTCTACCACTGGCACAAGCACAGGCTTGAACACTGGCACAAGCACAGGCTCGACCACTGGCTCAAGCACAGGCTGGAACACTGGCACAAGCACAGGCTGGAACACTGGCACAAGCACGGGCTGGAGCACTGGTACAAGCACAGGCTCGAACGCGGGCACAAGCAGAGGATCAAACATTGGCACAAGCACAGGCTCTACCACGGGCACAAGCACAGGCTTGAACACTGGCACAAGCACAAGCTCAACCACTGGCTCAAGCACAGGCTGGAACACTGGCACAAGCACAGGCTCAAACAATGGCACAAGCACAGGCTCGATCACTGGCACAAGCACAGGCTCGAACACAAGCACAAGCACAGGCTGGAACACTGGCACAAGCACAGGCTCGAACACAAGCACAAGCACAGGCTCGACCACTGGCTCAAGCCCAGTCTGGAACACTGGCACAAGCACAGGCTCGACCACTGGCTCAAGCCCAGGCTGGAACACTGGCACAAGCACAGGCTCGAACACTGACACAAGCAGAGGATCAAACATTGGCACAAGCACAGGCTCGAACACTGACACAAGCAGAGGATCAAACATTGGCACAAGCACAGGCTCGAACACTGGCACAAGCACAGGCTTGAACACTGGCACAAGCACGGGATCAAACACTGGCACAAGCACAGGATCAAACACTGGCACAAGCACAGGCTCGAACACTGGCACAAGCACAGGCTCGACCACTGGCACAAGCACAGGCTTGAACACTGGCACAAGCACGGGATCCAACACTGGCACAAGCACAGGCTCGACCACTGGCTCAAGCACAGGCTCGATCACTGGCACAAGCACAGGCTCGAACACTGGCACAGGAACAAGCTGGAGCACTGGCACAGGCATTGAAACATCGATGAGCCCAACTTTGACCACAACTTCAGGTACATATGCATTATTATTCATAGTAAGGCCCACGTTTACGAATAATGGATTGTGTGACTGTTTTCCGTTATTGCTAGAGCTGTGCACATGGGATGAACAGTTACTTATTATAAACACTGACATACTAGCACTTGTCTGGTTAAAGCGTTCGCTCGTCACGCCGTGATATTGCCGGAATATTGCTAAAAGCGGCGTAAAGCCATACTCGCTCACTCCCTCACTTACTCATGTCGCATGACGCTATTTGAAATATTCGTAGAAAGGTCATGCTCGAATATACCTCAACATTTCTGAAATGGAGATACTAAACGCTGTAGCTGCTCTAATATTGCTCGACATTGGAAAGTTGACTATTTGAAGGTTGAAGTCATCCCTCTTCTCATTCAGATTTGTAGAGAGTTGTTTTGTCTATCTAAATCTTTATGCATTGATTGGAACATGAAACAGATGAGGCGGACTCTTTTATGTCTGGTTCAGGTGGGTTAATCAGTGGAGGGGACTTGGCCATTTGGCCGTTATTGAATGAATCAGAGCATATACTTAATAAAGGAAAGAAAAGTTATCTGTTTGTGAAATGCACAAAATAATAAATTGTGAAAAGAAATGTAAACATAGGTTAAGGAAAGCATTACAAAAACACTGCTCACTGTTTACATCATTCAGTTTGAGCACAACGCAGACGTATCGATTCGTTTAACGTTTCTCATGCAAAACTGTGTGTATTACCCCCTTGTCCATCATATATACTGAGTCAATTTAAAAACTTCACATTTTAAAAAGTAATCCCATATATGATATACAACGGACAAATGTATCAGAGAAGGTAATTTTTAATCATTCATGTCCAAAGAAGGATCTTAAGTCCCAAGCACGAGAATCTGATTGCACACAAGTTCAAGAGCATGTATGGCCACTATGTGCGTTGACAACTGCCACACAACGCCTCCGCATGGACCTTGTGATGCTTGTGAACACATGATTGGGAAGACGACGCCATTGTTGCTGCAAAATGGTGCCAAGATCTTGCAAATTCTGTGGTTAGTTCTGGAGAGTGCGCAGACTTCTGCCAAGATAATCCCAGACGTGTTGGATGGGATTGAGGTCGGGAGACCTTTACGGCCAGTCCATGACGTTGACTCCCGCATTCTGAAGGAAATTCCTTGTCAAAATTCCTGTGTGGGGTCTGGCATTGTCGTGTTTGAAGATCAAACCGGGTCCATGTGCTGCCAAAAAAGGCAGAAGTTCTGGTGCCAGTACCTGGTCGCGGTAAGCAGCAGCGTTGAGGTTGCCACGGCTGACTAGAAGTCTGGAACGTGCATTGCCACAGAAAGCACCCGACACCATGACACTTCCGCCTCGAAATCTGTCAACTTCCTCTACACAACACTGGGCGTAACGTTCATGACGGCGCTTCCACACTCTCGCTCTACCATCAGCAAATCGAAGATTAAATCGGGATTCAACACTGAAGACGACTTGATTCCAATTCCTCCGAGTCCATCGTAAGTGTCGCTGTGCCCACAATTGACATTGATGTCTGTGTAATTGAGTCAGAATCGGCCCGCAGTATGGCCGTCGTGCTTGAAGGTGAGTAGTTCTCAGACCGTTTAGAACAGTTTGCGCACTCAGTCTACCCCTAAACAGTTCATTTCTGGTTGATATATCCGTCATAAATCGGTTACGGAGGTGACGTAAGACAATCTGACGATCCTCTGCATGTGACGTCATACGTGGTCGACCTGGCCGCGGGCGATCAGCGGTGGTACCCGTTTGCTGTAGACGCGTCTGTAAATCATCAACAGTCCGTCGACTACAACCCATCGTCCTTGGGACTTAAGCTACGGACGTTCCCGTCTGCAACATGCCGATGATACGTTCACGTTGCACATTTGAAAGGCGTGGCATGACAAATGGCCGTAAAGATTTTTGTTTTCTTGTGTTTTTTGCTGTTGTTTTTTTAATGACTGCTAACAAGTATGGCTGAAAACACGTGCGGTATTATGGCCACGTGACCAGTTGCACGTGAAAAACCACTTTTGCCACTTTAGTGCTGTGCACATGATTTTGATTGATTCACCTGCACAAAAACGGGTGTAATCTGAAGACAATACATGGCCATTACTGTTTAAATACACAATAATGCGCTAATCACATGCAAAGATGCGTGCATTTCCCCCTTGTCCATCATATATACTCAACAACAAAAGATCCTCTGACACCAATATTTTAGTGTATTTTTCAAACAAGTAAAGTTTGGTTTTCAATATTGTAGTACATGTATGGAATCAAGTCACAAAATCGCAGCTGCTACAGAAAAGCATGCATTCCATGCAAAAGTTGACATTTCACAACCCAAGAATGGTTATAAAAACGTGTGCGTTAACGGGATTCCATATGCATTGTTTAGCATCGTGCTGACAACAACCACTCAGAAAAACAACAAAATTACGCAATTATTCAACATTACGAAATGCCACGCCTGTCCGAAAATTAGCGTCTGCGAGCCATTGGTATGCTTGAAGCATGATCGAGTCAACGTGATGTTGCAAGACAACTTAACATCCACAGAAGCACCATTTGGTGTTTATGGCAACGTTGGCAACAGACGAATGCAGTCAGGGATCATACTCGGAGTGACAGGTCACGCGTAACCAATAATCCACAAGACAACTGGATTCGAACAACACACCTACAAAATCGATTCAAGCCAGCAACAGTGACTGCAAGGAGCATCCCTAGCCTTCGACGAATATCTTCACAAACCGTATGTCGTCGCAGGGTTTGTCGCCAGAAGACCCGCCAGACGTCCCATTTTGACAGGAAACCACCGCCAAACACGTCTACAGTGGTGCAGACAGCGTCAACGCTGGACGGCCATGCAGTGGTGACAAGATCTATTCACTGACGAGTCTTGCTTTCACCTCAGCCACAGCGATGGACGGATTCGAGTGTACCGACGTCGAGGTGAACGTTATGTCAATCATTGTGTCATGGAAGAAGATCGGTTTGGGGGCATCAGCATTATGGTAAGGGTTGGGAATGAAATGTTTATGAAACTGTTAGGGACATGTTCTATGGTGACCAGAATCGGAACAATTTAAGCTATTTCATCATTAAAACAACCGACGATGAAAGTAAAATATATCATTACAAAAATCATACACGACCCACTACTTCCGGGCCACAACTGTCTCATTGCTATCACACAATGGCTTTGAATCCGAGAAATCTTGAAATTGACAGGACAAACCATGCAGATCCTTGATGGGAGTAACTGTGATGGAGTTCTGCCACATCCACGTTCGGGGTGGAGAGGCGTTTATTTTGATGTTATTATTTACTGGGGGTAATTGCTAACTAACAAATAAGACTTACAAATGCAAATAAATAGTAGAATGTTAATTCATAAAGTTTGTTGTAGCAATATATTCGTTGAGCATTTTTAAAACTATTTCTATATAAGTCATCCCTTTAATGGAAATGGCATGTTCGATTTCCAAGAAATTACTTCTCTCACGGATTTCCAAGAAATGACTGAAGTGAGTCTAAACAGTGCACACAAGGTTGCGATGAAATTAAAACATCTATCTTTTGACTAAGTTTGTGGGGTATTTTGTCAACTTCTTTTTGAGAAACTATATGTTTTGAACACTTATTTTGAACTACTCAGGACTATGGGATTTTTAATCTTGAAAATTTAGTAATATTTGTTGCATATATAGCTAGCTACCTGTGACCACTTTTCGGAATGTTCTAGGATTGTGGACCTTTGTACCCTGTGTTGTTACGCGTTGCAAGAAAACCCGTAAGCTAAAGCGCTCAGTTCCAAATTAAAATAAGAGGAGTCTACTCTACAGTGGGACTACATCAAATTTCAAAACACAGTAGGTTTATCTCCTAAATATACAGCATAGTCCTTCATACATGGATAAAACCATGACTGTATCGAGCACACGAGCAACGTTCTGCGCCATCGCGTAAGAGGGCATGAAATCAGCTCAGTCGATTATTGTCCGTGGGTTGTCTTTAACATTCCAAAGTTGTAAACATAGTTATCTACTGCAAAACTGTTGGCTTTCTTCTCACATTTGCTACCCTCTAGTGTAAACATGTTCTCGTTAAGCAGTAAAGATCGTTTAGTGACAGTTAACGTTGTAATTCAAAACTATTTTGAGTACGAGTAACCTGACATCAACAATTGATGTAATTCGTACGTCCTGTTTTGATTCTTTAGAAATGAGCTTCTACGTTTGTGCAACCAGTTGACAGATTTAAACATGTTGCCTTCTTTATGCTCAAGGGACTAATGGCGGCTTTTGTGCAAAAAATACTATTGTTGGGGCTCTTTATAGCTTCTACAATGACAGGTTTTACCCACATGGAGTATCAAATATGCATTTGGAGACGAAACAGATTTTCTAGGTATGCTTCATGGGTAAAGTTGTATGACGTGATATGTTACTTACAGTTTGCTAAGGATCACAACTTTAAACGCAAGTTGGGTGCATCTGTTGAAATAGCCAAATACAATATTGCACGAAGACGTTCAAATGAATTAAATTCCGATGTCACATTCCACACTATGCCAACAATCGACATTTGAGCAATAATCAGTAAGATCGTCCGTCAAAATCTGACCATCACTGAAACGTCAAAATATCACGAAAACAAATTCATTGTACAACAAAAATCAAATCCCAGTAGCGCGTATGTGATCGGGGTGATGCGACCACAGCCTGGCACAGTCGTCTCATGCTCCCAATAAGAGTCTGGATGGCTTCGAAGGGAAAATGGTCCATTCTTTGTAAGAGCTTTGCCAAGTTACTGTAGATACGCCGGGAGGACAGGGCGTCGTGAGAGGGCGATCTGCAGCTCGTTCCTCATGTTTTCGATAGGATTGAGGTCTGGTCTCCTGCTCTAACTAGTCATCAACGACCCTGACACGGTGAGATCGTGCGTTATCTTCAATCAGGAGGAAGTCGGGTCCAATTCCACCAGC